TCCCAGATTTGGCGAAAAACTGTGGAATGAGAGACCGTGTAGCTTTCGAAATCTACCCAAGAAGGCAATTTAAAAGGGAAATTCGCCGATTTCTCCTAGATATTTTAGTAAAAGAAAACGACTATATAGAAACACCTAATTATTATACAAAAAGTTGGACTGGCTAAATAATTAATTAATAACTGATTTTTCCCTCAAACTTCTAACCTTATCATTTCCTTAACTCTGTGTTTATGTAATAATGTCTATTTAAAACAGTTCAACCTCAGTTGTTCGTCTGTCCTTCCTAGATTAGCATTTGCTACCTGGGGTTCAGTGCAATAACTTAAGTTCAATTCTTGCGATAAAGTTTTGTTGTTGTTGTTGTTATGTACAACTTAGCTGTGGTATAATGTATACTGTAGTAGCAGAAGTGGTAAAAGCAGTATTAGTAGATAAAGCAGTAGTGTTTTTGGCAGAGACAGTGATAGGTAGCAGGTAGTGGTAGCTGCAATTTGCAGTAGAAGGCAAACGGGTAGTGGCAGTGGCAGTGTTAAGAGACAGTAGCAGTAGTGAAAGTGGTAGTGGTAATGGTTGTGGAAGTGGTAGTGGCAGTGGTGGTGGTAGTGGAAGTGGCAGTGGTAGTGGTACTAGTACTGGTACTGGAACAGGTGGTAGTAGCGGCAGTGGTAGTGGTAATGGCGGTGGCAGTGGTAGTTGTGGTGGTAGTCAGTAGACTGGTAGTGGTGGTGGTCAATAGTGCAAGTGGTAGTGGCAGTGGTATTGGTAGTGGTGGTGGTAGCTAGTGGAAGTGGCAGTGACAGTGGTAGTTGTAGTGGTACTGGTACTGGTACAGGTGGTGGCAGTGCAGTGGTAGTTGCAATGGTAGTGAAAGTGGTAGTGGCAGTGGTGGTGGTAGTGGAAATGGCAGTGGAAGTGGTAGTGGAAGCGGCAGTAGTAGTGGCAATGGCAGTGGTAGTGGTAGTGTTAAACGTAGTGGTAATGGTGGTGGCATTGGTGGTAGTGGTGGCAGTGGTTGTGTTAGTGGTATTGATAGTGGTAGCAGAAGTAGTGGCAGTGGCAATAACAGTGGCTGCAGTAGTAGTAGTAGGTGGTAGTGTTAATTATTAAAAATTAGTCGGTCAGTAGCAACACAGTCAACTCTCTTTTAAGCGACAATCCTTGGTGCAAACAAAGTGGTCACTTACAGCAGCTAGTCGTCTACTGGAAAACTGATTAACTGATTAAACATAATTACAAGTTATTACCTTAGAAGCTAAAATTGGTCAAACAGTTGTACATAACAATTTGCAACAATGTAATAATCCACTTTGTTTACCTTTAGATCGTATTTCAGCCATTTTTTTTGTGGGTCAACTACTATAATCTGTCAGCACGCTTGGTCAGTGCTATGAAAAACTGAGCTTTTATGACATTCGAAAAGTTAATATGTCAAATTTCTGGCCTAAAAGTAAATAGTCACAGTCATGACTATTTAAATAATGGTTGCTTACGAGAGTTTTTAGATGGGTCACAATAATGGCCTTCAGTACAGTGTTTTGGAATTCAAAATTGATACAGAGTAGATCAATACCAGAACACATTTTGTCAAACCGCCTTAACTTCTTGTTGCTCTGAATGTGCTAAACAAAACTTTTGTTAAGTGTGATACATCTATGTCAATGTTACAGATCAAAATTAAATTCAGGTCAAAATTTTTTAACGTACTCCTATGCTGATTCTAAAATTCCTCTGTCTCCTAGGCTTTATTATTCAATGAATTTGGGCTAGGAGACAAAGGAAATTGAGAATCAACCTAGGTTAAAAAAATGTCACCTTATTTTATTTAATTTTGACCCTGTAGAATCAGTATTCAGTTACATAAGCACTTACGAGGTAAAATTAAGTGTGTTTAACATTGTCATTGCAGCCTGTAATGAAAAATACTATTAACTTATTTATTTATAGTATTGGGCAACTGTTTGATACCATCATTAGGGGGTCAAATGAAGAGCTCTACATGTAAAACAATATTTGTGCTGGCAAAATGATGAAAACCTTTTTGGGACACCTTCCAATAAAAATAAAACAAACAATGAAACAATAGGGCCATTTATACGAGGAAAAATAAGATGCGTCTTACATAAGACGCGTCTTAAATAAGATGTGAACTGTACCATTTATGCGAGCATGTCTTATCTAAGACGAGAACAGCTCGTATAAATGGTTCGCGTCTTACTTCTGTTCTTGACCCGTTTTCATGTGAACGTTGCCCATAGCAATGGCAACCAACAAGGCGTGAAAATTTTCCCGCCAAAAAATAAACGCATGCGTACCATGCGTTTGCGTCTTATGTAAGACGCGAAGGTCATTCATACGAAGTTTTTCTCGTCTTAGCTTAGACGCGTCTTATCTAAGAACAGGTGTTAAGGGCTGTTCTAAAATAAGACGCGTCTTAGCTAAGTCGTGTCTTATTTTAGACGAAATGTGCCGTTTATATGGAAAGTTTGCGTCTTATTTAAGACATGTCTCATGTAAGACGCGTCTTATTTTTCCTCGTATAAATGGCCCTAATTTTTAAATTGGGTTGTTCCAGAAAAAATCCACACCCCCCCGACGGATGGGATTCTGGAAATTCTCGTGGGAGGGGGGGTCGAAGACTCCGGAAATCCAGGCGGGAGGGGGGGTTGACCTTAAAAAAGTCTTCTGCAGGGGTCAGTTCGACCGATAGTTGATACAAATCAAACGTTTAGTTCGATGACACTTAAGCGCTTTCAGACCCTGAAAATAGTCAAAATGTTTTGTTCATATATTTCTCACCTGACATAAATGATAATCTAAGTTGCTTTACAGGTCCTTTTATAGCAGAAAACGTGAACAAGATACTAAAGAACGGGCCTGAAGGAACTCGTCGCAACGTTGTTGTCACGAAGAGCGTCAAACGCCTGACACATTTCTACTGCACCCAGAGCCCAAGTTATTTAAGAGTGATTTTTATAAGCTAAGAAATTATGTAAACACTGTTCAGGTGTCGTTCGCATTTTTGTTTTTTGCTCCTTTCGTTTTTAGTTCCACGCGATAGAATTCTTAGTTTAATATAAGCTGAAGCTTTAGAAATTAAAACAAAAACATTTAGGCGTGTTTGCATGTATTTTCCATTAAAAATAAATTAAATTTAAGCCTTTTATTTTTCCCGGAAATCCAGGCGGAGGGGGGTCTTCCACCTTGGAAATCCAGTTGAGAGGGGGGGTCTTGTGCTTCAGGAAATCCAGGTGAGAGGGGGGGTTAAAAAAGGACCCCATCCGTCGGGGGGGTGTGGATTTTTTCTGGAATAACCCATTTCCTTAATATGAAAACAACAATTAGTATTAGTAATAATTTATGTAGTATTATTAGTAATATGTAAAAAAAAAGAAAAGAAAAGAACAAGAACCATACTGTACCTAAGTTTCCATCATCCTTGCATACGTCTGCCCAGGAATGGAACAGCTCAGCTTGTTTCTTTCCTGACAACATGGCATTGAAAAGAGATGCAATCACTGCATTTTCATGGTATCCACCTGGAACACTGAAGTACTCTGGCAGCAAGGAGATTTCGATTGCAAACTCAAAGTTTGGGCGATCTCTTGCAAATTCATTGAATGCTCTGACATAATTAGACTCTATAAATCCTGCCAGTCTCTTCATCTTTGACATAAAGTGCTCATGAAAACGTCTTTCTGCTTTTGTGTAAGATTCAAGGAACTTTACATCATTTTTAATACTCTCAGCATACTTTCTTAAGAGTGGATGAATATCATACATCAAATCCTTGGTGTCTTCAACAACTACATGTTGGGTTACTGCATTAGTTACAAGTCCCTCAAGCTGTGCTACAGCTTCTGATGTGCTAACACCAAGAATTTTTGCTGCTGTGGGAGCAGAGAAGGGTCCATGAAACAAAGACATGGATACAGCAGACACTCTCAAAGTATCAGATGGGAGGGTATCAAACATCTCTTTCATTATTGACAATTGACCTTCATCAATTCCATCTTCTTGAAAATCAAAAGGTTTTTCTTCGCTGTCCTCTTCCGATTTTGATTTCATAGGAATTCCAGTTTCCTCTTGAGAAGACAATTCTATCACTTTGATCAGATCACTGGGTGATTTTCTCTTCTGCTTCAAAATTGCAGCTGTTCCTTTTAAAAACAATGGGACTCCTTTGCAGACACCCAGAAGCATCTTTTTCTGCTGAGCTTCAACATCAGAGTTTTCCTCGGGAAGCAAAATTTTCTCTGAAAAGGAATCACTGAGCGGCTGTAACTCATGATCAATGACCTTCTCTGAATCTTTTAACTGAGTCCTTGAGGTTAGAAGCATGTTTAAAGTGCTTGCCTCATCTTCAAATTGTGAAAGCTCTTGTAAAAAAAGAATGAATTGTGTTCTTAAGTTCTTGCCCTCCTTTCCCTTTCCCTCTGTGAATTGCTCAACATTGTCAAGAAGAAAAAGAACTGGCTGACCTGCGCTTATTTTTTTTATATTCTGATGAATTCGCTTCACAACATAATCCAATTTCCACGAAACACCGACAGGAAATTTTAGTTTAAGGGTACCCATAATATTGACATAAACTGCTTTCATTTCTGTTGCTTTTCTTAAGTCAAAAACAAAGTATTTTCCATCTTCTTCTTCCCATCTTTTGCAAATTTCCTTGGCAAGTGTTGTCTTGCCCACTCCCGCTGATCCATACAAATTAACAACTGTCGCCTTACCCCTCACTGTTAACCTTTCTGTTATTTTCTTGATTTCATCTCCTCTACCTTGCAATTCCTTCTCCGATTTAACTTTCGATGAGAGATATTCTTTGCACTTCTCGGTTGTTTCGTAAATTTCTTGTTTTCTTTTTGACTTATCAGCGATGAACTTCATCAGTCTCAGATTCGAACTGGAAACATAACTGAACTTATGCAAAAGATCCAAACATGGAAACAAATCTTGATTTCCCAGCGATTTGAATTCCTTTCCATATATTCTTTTAATAGACTGCACGACATCCTCTGATTCAGCCGGTGACAGCTTTAAGGATATGTCTCTAAAAAGTTGATTTAGTTCAGATGAACTTTCTGTTGCAGTGGACGCCATTTTACCTTTTGATCCCACCGCTGACCCAACAAACTTCATTACAAGCCGGAAGTATCTAGCCTCCAGGGGGTGAAATAGTCACGCGAATTAGTCCGTGGGCCAGCGAGTGAAACCCTTCCCCCGCTGGGGGAATTTTGCAGACACATACAGTTTGAAAGCTTAGGGCAAGGAGATTCCAAATCAGGTTGTTTGCAGTTGTTAAGTTGCTGGACGTGACTGTACGGTGGCATTTTCTGTCTGGAGCGAAACACCACAGGCTACCCACGCTATAGGTTTTAAAGAAAAATTATCAAAAAACAAAACAATGAATAAAGCAGCGTGAAATTGTCTTTTTACTTAACTTTGTCATCTCAGACAGAAATTTGCATCTGGGCACCGTATATAAGCACTAAACAAGGTACCGGCATGTCATAACTTTGAAGGCCCCCTCTATACAAGAACTAAACTTTGAATCAGGTTCTTATTTTCTAAAATCTATAAATACGATTTATATACCCTGTTTAGGAAAGACTCACACGAAGGGTATGTACCCTCTTTAGGACGGAGAGGTAAAAAAAAAAACATACCCTGTCCAGCGGCACATCCCCGTATAGGCCATATAAGGGAGTACCTCCTCTCCCCACCCCCTCCACCCTGGGCATTGTAGGTCCAAGGAGGTAGCTATGGTTATGTCTTTTATTCTTACCGATACTCAGGTGTCATGGATTTCAATCTCAGTTGCGTTGTTGCGCTGGACAGGTTTAATAACTGTTAGCCCAAAAAAGGTAAATATTTTTAATAAGGGCAAAGTATCCTATAGCCCGATCGAGCAGGATTCACAAGAAGTTTTTGTACGTTTTCGATGAAACCTACGGTTAACTACGCTGTGATGAGTTTTTTTTTTTCTGATGACTCGTTTAATCAATGACTAATGAAGCACAAAGTGGCCTTTGATCATCGTGACTGGTGTCGTAACTTCCAAGTTCTCCTTGGTATTCCAATAGTTTTGCGGCGACATTTTCCAGAAACACCGTATAATTGGAAGGCTTCGGCCCAGCTTTTCCAAGTCTTAGCCCACCTCTCTTGTGTCCTTCCTTAGCCACTTAGCCAAAAGAACCTTTTTCAAGATCTTTCATCCACTAGTATAATACATTTTTGGCAATGAATTTCCACTGACACAAACGCCTCCTGGGGATTTCCAAGTAGTGCCGGCGCAATCTTTTTAATACTGGTAATGCTCGCTTATTCATTGGCTCCCGCAACACTACCCCAAAGATTATAGAACTGGAGGGTAGTCAACCCCGGAAAAGAAATGTCTTATAAACATGAGACCCGCCCACAGAAGATCCTTCAATGATTAAGGGACTCCCTAGTGGCCCGAGGGGAGAAAAGGGAGGAGGGGCGGTCTCCAAATTTTTTTTCTGCCCTTCGGGCTCAGTTTGGTCTAAAACTAAGGAGGGCCCTTCCCCTGGATCCACCACTGATATTAAAAATTTTATTTTTCGCAGAGCTGAAACTTCAGGTCTAGTTAAAAGAATCACAGCTGTTTCAGTGTAGTATAATCATATTTTAAATTTGAGACATACACAATCGTCTGTTTGCGGTTAAAGTTGGGCGTTATTTCGACCGCCAAAACAGCACACAATCAAGGTGCAAACAATGAAAGCCCAAAACTATATTACAAAAGTTATTTTGCGAGACATTTCTTTTATGCAGTCTCCGAGCTTTGGGTAACTGGTAAATGCGTGTGCAATATCAAGTCCATAGGAACTTTTGTGCGCTTGTACTGCTTCCTTGAAAATTGTTGAAAATTGTAGCAATTTCGCGAATATAAAAGGCATTTTTATCGAGTTTCGAACTTTTCCAAATTTCTCAAAATGTAAAGCGCTTGAAGAATTCTTAATATAATTTCTTGAAATGGTTCACCTTAAGGGTTGTTTGGGTAGTAATTTAGCCAAAATTCGAATTTTTAGAACTGATTGGAGATTCTCGGTATTTTCCGACATTGGGTTTTCTCTAATAGAGAAGAGCGACAATTTGGGCAAAATCGCTGCCCACGAATGTTAACAGTCCACTTCCGGTTGACGTGCGTCGCTCAAATTCGTCCTTGCTTAGGGACGGGTCATTATTTTTTGACGGCGGCGGGGGCGGGGGAGGGAGGGGGGTTGGAAAATTTTGAAATAAAATATTTGCAGAGGCTGTAAACACTGAAATGAATTGTATGCAAGTCAAAAAAAGATGTTGCATCATTACTTTGCCAAAGAAGAATATTGATTCGGATCACAAGAACTGCAAAATATTTAGAAATCCGACTCTTCCCGATCCTACAACATCCCCGCCATCCTCGGAGACCCAGGGGCAGTCAGTCGGGTCGGGAGAAAAGGTGCGACGAAAGTTTTCGAGGATGCATCATTCTCAGCCTCATTCAATAATTGTTAAATAATAAGAACTACCTACAAAAATAGTGTTAACAAAAAAAATGAAAAATTCTCCGAATTAAGATACGAAATAAAATAAGTTCAAATACGTTGTAGGAATAAAATAGTTATCGTGCAGAAAAATAAATAGTAAACTAAGTTCATTCAATAGTTCTATAAATAAATATTAACGAACAATAAACATGCATTAAAATGCAAAATTTCCGTGAATTGCAATATAAGTATAAATAGACCTATGAAAAAAATCAGAAATGGCATGGACTTCATACCAAGAGTCACATTATGGCTCTTGCTTCATACTGATAGCAAGTGCATTAAAAACTAAACTGATGCATCATAAAATAGATCTGGCAATGTCATAATGTGCACAAGTGATTAATCCTTTCCCAATCCTTGATGTTTTATCAAAACATATCTACCAAAGAAATAAACTACGCCTATTATAAACGTATCCAGTAGCATATAACCCCTGGATATGCTTCTGACGTATCCCAAAACAGTTATTTACTGGAAAAGTGTTTATTCGCTATCTTTATGCACCATTAAATCTTTACAATTAAAACTCGGAGATTCCTATTTTTCTTCTTTAAATTGTTGAATCGCATTCTTTTTGCAAATCAGAGACGTTTTCGCTTTGGCACTGTTGAATCACCAATCTGTACTTTCTGCCAAACTGACGATGAATCCATCGAGCATTTCCTTTTCTTCTGAGTTTTGAAATCACTTCCTGTCCTGGCTTAGCTGGATAATAATAATAATAATAATAAGATAAGCTAACTATAAAATCCTATTTACAATTAATTTCACTTAAAAAACTATTCAGTCAAAGCACTATTTACATTATTCCTTTCGATTAAAAAAAACCCCTTAATTTTGATTGAAAAAATTCATTCCATTAAAAAATATATCATATATTCGGGAAAAAAACGGAAAAAAACGGTTCATTTCAACTAAACTAAATTAACAAAATCACGCCATTATCACACACGTTTGGGTGGCGTTTAAGCTGCAGTCATCAATGAAATCCCCTTGTGGAATTTTGTGAAGGGTGTCCTAGAATCTCTTACGCATGTGTGTACGGACGTAAAATCTCAAAAGAAAGCAATGTTCTAATCCAGGTAATAGTAATGTGATAAGGTTCCTCATTCTTTTCTGAGAGCTTCTCGGCTACACGTTCGAGAAAGCAGTTGCAGTCGGCTCCCATCCCACCGTTGGTTCCAAAAACAAGGGGAGTGAAAGATCCCATTTCAACGTCCAGCCCTGGTCCAGCACCCTCTGTTTGTACTCCCGCTTTTTCTCCCCCTCTTGCTCCTTAAAGATTGTGGATGTTTCTTTTCCCTGGTTGCACTTGGAGTTAACATGCGTTACTCTGAAATCAAAAAATGCTGTAACTCCACGAGTTATACAGTCCCGTCTTGCCTCCGGGCTTGTTACCGCGGTTATGAGGTTGAATCGATCATTATTGAGAGATTGTAGTTGTGGCTCGACTTCAATGTTGGTGCAAACCTTACCAATAAGTGAGGTAAGTAGGTTGCGAACACCATCGTGTCTCTGCGCCACGAAACCTCCTCTTTTGCATGACAGGGCATGGCAGACGGTATACTTCTCACCACAAACACACTTGCTTGGTAAGTCGGACAGGGGCATATTATACCTTAAACGCAGAGAGTCTATGAATTCTTGTTTATTCAGCACTAAACCTTGATCGAGAAGAGGCACTGCGGTAAGCCTTGAGCTCGCACCCTTGTCTCTCGATTGGTTAACTAACTGACCACAGCAGATCCGAAGGTAGAGTGGAATCAATACTTTCCATTCTCGATTTCACCGACGCAGTTTTCAAGGCTTGATGTTGTCTTTTTAACTCTTCCGTGGAATTCTCGCCTGCCACCATGAACATGCACTGTGTGGTAATAGAATCTACGTGCCAATTAATAATAATAATAGTAATAATAATAAATAATAATAACACATTTAACCAGGGTAAACCCGTCAGCTGAAGCTGTTATAAATGGGTGCCCTGGGCGACTTAAAAAATTAAAAATTAAAGGAAAAAATACCTATAACAGATCAACTATCAAAAAATGTAAAAACTATGTACAATGTTGATAGATAAAAACTAAGAATTATATAACTACTTAAATGAGGACTCTAAAAACCTCTTAAATATTTACCAGAACTCTAAAAAATAATATCATTATGCTGCGTTTTAAAAATTACTATAGAGTCAACTTTCTCCAGATGCGGTGGCAAGTTATTGAAAATCTGGGCTCCAGTAACAGCTTCAGTTAAAACCAATGTCACGGCCTCTCTGATTCAGGCATATTTTCTCCCGACACCAAGCCAAGCTCTCTCATTATATGCCAGTTTACATTTGCAAAACCCATATTTGTAAGGCACCTCATGATCTGCCTGTTTGTGGCTTCAGATCCGTTGTTTTCGTACCACCTTCTCAAAGCCTTCCGACAACACTGTTTTCGGTTACCATTTTCTTCCACCTCTATGGCTTCGATCACAGGTTGTGATAGTGGCGGTCTAAGATCACCTGCGAAGGTCTTCCATTCCATTTTGACTTTCTCAGCAACAACTGAACAGACATTATCACTTGGAAGTTGGTTAACCTTTTCATGAGCTGCAAGAACAAAATTAAACATAAAAATATGAACGACGTCGCACAGCATGCACATTCACAGGCATTCCACAAGCACTGCATTTACCGTCACGCCACTGTTTTTGCGTGACCTTATTTTACCACTGACATTTTAATTGTTGTCAGTACTACTAGCTTTCCCAATCAGAAATGGAGATGAATGAATAACAACCATCACCCAGACGCGAACTGTCGACTGAGTCAAGAATTTTAGTATTAACCAAATCATTTGGATAGAAAGAAAAACTATTTTTCCATGACTTTCAAGGACCGGCAATTAAATTCCAGGCCTGGAAAATGAAATTCTCAAATTCCATGACTTTCCAGGTTTTCCAAGACCTACACAAACCCTGTAAATATTATTATTATTATTCATTCAAAATATTTCCCCGATTCTGATTGGCTAAAAGCACACGCATAATTCACCATAACCAGTTACTGATGACCAAATTCGGAAGAATTTTATGTTTAAGGAGGAAATGACAAAAATGCAGCGTTCTTGCAGGTTAATGCACCGTTAACCGAGAAGACCTGGGGACGAGGTTGAGTTGTTTTGGTTGTGAAAAACAAAAAATGGCGGACATTTCACTCGTTTCAAGAGTAAGAACTAGGCGAAATTATAGATAAAAACATGGCAAGAACACAACTCGAAGGGCGACATCTGCTATTTGGAGAACATTTGCGGAGCTGAAAAACTTTAAACGTGTACTATCGAAGGTGAACTTAACATCGATGGAGGTAAGCATGTTTTAGCTTTGCTTTTAAACTAGGAATTATTTTGAATGAATAATAAAACAATTACTGAATTCGGCTTGCGTATCATATGAAGAATTATGGAGATCTCGGAGGGGGTTATCAGCCTCGGCCTACGGCCTCGACGGATAACACCTCCATCTCCATAATTCTTCATAAGATACTCAGCCTCATTCATTAACTGTTAAATAATGGACAGTGCCGAGTTAAAGATTCACAAGCCTATTTTATTTCTTTCTATATTTTTAAAAAGCTTACCGGCAACAAGGTGATCCTTTACATGTCTTACTCCTTCTCCCATCCCTCTTAACGTAATAACAATTTGATCAAAACACATTTGTTGATGCTCGGGAGATAGTTTTGCCAACTCCCTGAAAAAGCTTTTCATAGCCTCTCTAGTCGGGGTAATAGACAAGTGGTCGTCATAAATACTCCTTTTTCCTATTTCTTCCAACACCCCACGGCATCCAGCTAGAATGCCATCAGTGAATCTCGCTTCATGTAGGGTCTGGTCATCAAAGGGTAAACCGAAGAATTCGACTGGTGTTTTCTGCGAAAGATAACAGAATGGTATAAACCTGAGAGCGATAATAACACCTTGTGTTCGGTACCATCGAACAAAGTCAGATGTAGCAAATATTTTTCAGTCTGACAGTGCAGGAATTGTTGAAGTGTTGCCATGTAAAAGAAAGAAAAATATCGTTTTAAATTTGTGGAGCTTTTCAGCATGAGTTTTGGTATTGTTTAAGCATATTACATTCACTCCTTTGCCAGCCCCTTGCGAATCTCTGGCGAGCATATTTTGATCACTGTGTCAACATATTATTATATTTGATACCCAAAATACTGCATACCTGATTAAAAAAGACCCCGGATACCAGAATAACCGGGCCTAAGGTCAGAGGTTTTGTAGACTACGAGGAGTACCCCTTTTTTCCTCAGGGAAAATGGGGGACTACTCGTAGTCTAGAAGTTTTGGACAATTGAAGTGAGATATAGTAAACGACATGGCATCGATTGAATTATCACAGTACCAATTAAATTACGGCACTTACGTCAGGATCACTTGATTGAGGAGGAAGCGTTACGTCCATTTCACACAACAATTTATCTTCATCTCGCTCGCTGTTGCTGAAGAACTCAACGGTCAAGTCCCCGGGACATCTAACATCAACCTTGACATTTAAACAAAAAGGGTCATCACGAAAGCTGGAAAAATAAAAATATAAAAAATAAATATATAAATAAACACCTACACAAGAAATCGTCTGATGCAGTATACATGAAAAAAAAAAAAACAAAAAAAACAACAACAACAACAACAACAACAAAAGACAGCTTTTGTGCTAGTTCTGTTCAGATGGAAATTTAATTATAATTCATGTTCTACGTCTACTTTCGGAAAACGAACCGACTTTGCTTGCAGTTTACAATTCATGGTGTTATATTCTCCAACGTAAACGTGGAGTGAGATAGACAATAGAGGCGATACTGTACAAAGTTACTTACGACAGGGTCTCTTGACAAACGTAAAACCATTTTCATGTGTGATAAGAAACGTTTACCCTTTGCAAGGAATAACCGTAGGAAAGAATCTCGTACTATTATTTTACCCTCGAATCGGAACGAATCGTACCACCCTGAGGTTTCAACCGAAATACGGTGAAACCTCTATTAAGCGGACACCTTCGGGACCTTCCCAAGTGTCCGCTTAATAGAGGGTGTCCGCTTAGTAGAGGTTGTTAAAATTGCGCAATGTTTGTTAACGATTAACACTCAACGGTTACTCTGTTTAGTGATAAAGTTCCATGTTTTTAAGTAGGCTAAGGAAGCTGTGCTGTATTTTGTGCAAGACTTTTAGGTGAACTTTGATCGCGGATGACAATTATACGGCGGGATATCGGTCTAATCTAAAGTTTATTGACAGCTACTGCTAAATGTATTGATTTATCGCTATTGATAGACTACAGTAGGTATTTCCAAGTATTTCCAATACTACCGACTGTCAATCAGTCCGGCGTTTGCTTAATAGAGGTTTTTAAATTAGCCAAATAAAATTTATTTTAGTGTCCGCGTCCGCTTTATAGAGGTGTCCGCTGAATAGGGGTTCGTTGTAAAGGGAAATATAAGATGTTAATTTCGGGACCCGGCTTAGTGTCCGCTTAGCAGAGGGTGTCCCCTTAATTGGGGGTCCGCTTAATAAAGGTTTCACTGTACCATGACAGTTGTCCCTGAAAAGAGCGCCTAAATCTCAGGAGTCAAGTAAGAGCTATTTTCAGGTCATTTCGGCAAGAATGGAAAAAGAGGAATCTTTCAGTGGATTTCTATCAATTCCGAAAACTTTCGTACCATTTTTTCACTTCAAGTGAAATTTCTGTGCTTCGCAAGGCGTCGTACGTCTTTACCACAGAAAAAACAATTGCCAATGGGTACACGTACTGAGATTTATTGGAAAAGTGAGTAAGGGCTATTTTAAAGGGATCCTTCATGTTGGTCCTACTTCATCCGAAACTGCTGGTTGCAATATGATGGGTCATTCATCTTCAATGCGTCCCGCCAAGTTTAAGACCTCATCGGAGATGGGCCAAATTTAGTCGGAAATTACCCGATGACCGACCTGATGACCTGAGGGGGTTTTAAGCAGACACGTTTTTGAGCGACGCACGTCAACCGAAAATGGACATTTTGCAATATTCGGCAGTGGTTTGCCAACATTTTTGGCCAAGTGGTCTCTATAAGAGCCAGAAAAATAAGCATTACGAATTGGGCAGCGTCGAGATATATTAAAAAAGAAAACGCCTCACTTCAGCCTTTGCTGAAACTCTATTCCCAGCTCTGAACAACGTTAAATAAGTCAACGGGACCTCATTCACCAATTAAATACGATATTATTACCAGACAAATTTTCCGGCTTGTTTTACTGATCTCAAGACGTCTCCTGAAAGAAAAACATACGCTTTGTCTTCGGGATTCATCAACTCTAACGAACTTCCATCCCCTAACCAGACATTATTCCGCTCCACCTCATCCTCGTGGAGCTTTCCTCTCTTGTCCGCTGGACTGCAAAACAACCTGAGTTTCGAACTAAAATTAACACGGGTATCCCTTGGGACATAGGCTGCAAAAAATGCTGCTCTCCCCACTCTTCTTGTGTCGCAAGACATTGCTTCTCGTAGCCAGACAATAGGCTGTGCACACCATTCCAGCCAACACCAGAACCTGTATTGAAACAATCACATATTTTAGTGCGCGCATACCACGAAAGATCGATTAAACAGCTATGAAAACGAGATTTGGGTGGGGGATAATGATAGCAGGATAGACAGTGACCATCAAGCAGTAACGTTCCACTGCCATCTTACAAGCACTAATGAAGTTCAAACTCGGGTGAGATAAACAGTTACTTCTTCTGCTCAGAATAAAGGTTATATGGTCCAAATGTTTAGGTCATACCACACTAGGTCACTTGACTGAAGCACATAAAAAAAAATTCAACCTGGGAGAACTTTTAATTTCGTGAAGTCATTTGCGGAACTTCTTTGTATTCTTAGACAATGCTCAGAAGAGCCTTTATAAGTCTTAAGACGGTTACTAAATCATACGTTTTTAACAGAACATGCAAGAAGGATATTTATCTGTTAAAGACCTTATCCACACCGTGGAAACGTGTCGACGAAAAAAAGGAGGAGTATGTCAACCCCCGGGGGGTACTCCCTGTAATACACCACTTGCACATCTCCTAAAGTGCACCTTATTTGCACCCTCAGCTCCCACCCCCCTTCCCGCCAAAAAAAAAAATGCAAAACCTTTGTTTTTCATTTCTCCTGGGTGTTACAGCCGTCCAAAGAGAAACTGGAAACAATGCTTATACAAAATTTTGGGGGGCAAATACGGTGCATTATGGGAGAAGTGCAAGTGGCGAATAGCGTATACGGGGAGGCTACGTCCGAGAGCGGTGCCTTTTTTAGGTTTTAGGTATATAAAAGGGTAGTGCTTTCACCAGTTGAAGTATACATGAGGAAACAGAAATCTGTTATTTCGGTCTCTAAAAGGACCGTAAAAGGGCTAATAGACGCATTGTATTGCTGTGAAAAAGTCAAGAAAACTTTGTTCTTTAGTGATGAATTCATACTTTAAAAAACAGTGCATTTACAGCGGTTCGAAGGATGCAACGTTCTAAACAAGGTACGTGAAAGGGGTGTCAAATGAAGGTATACGAAAGGGGTACCGTTTCTGTCAAAAATGGTACATAAAAGGGTAAGGGGTTGGACCTCGGGGCGGAGCCTCCCCGCATAAAACTTTATTGAGTAGTCCCCGAGTATGAACCCGAGACCTCTGGATTGCAAGCGCAGCGCCCTAACAATCAGGCAACCAGGGCTGTTAATAAGGGCCAGAAGCCGGCCAAAACCGCCAGCTAGTTAGCCATCCTTGGCAGGCTACTTTCATCTCCTTCTACCATAACTGCTGACAAAAAATAGGCACCTTTGAATAAAATGGTAAAGCATACGTTTCCCAGTTTTGAATGACATTGAACGCATATTTAAACAGGTTTAGATCTGTGAAACATTCGAACCGTGCGATGTCGTGGAACGCCTGGGACATTTCGACGGCATCGTTGCCCGTCTGCGTACATTCTGACCAAACGACATGGCGTCCGCGGTGAAAAATACCTCTTGAAAACCCCTGGAAATACCATTTCCAAGGATCTAAATTTCACAATATCCCTAGATGCCTCGGCCCTCAAGAACTTGTGCCTTCGGTGCGAGTTCAAAAGCCGCCTACTATTCATTATCAGCCTGCTACTTAAAAACTTTCTGACAGCCCTGGGTCACGCCTCCCTAATATAACAGTAATACAAGGTACATACACAGAGAAGTGCGTGACGCTGAATTCAAACACCATTCCATCGCAACTTGCAGGCGTGACAAGGCGTTCGGTGATGTCAGTCCATTCCTGGTGTCCAGAAGCTGACTCTTGAAACAAGATCCGAACGCGATACGTTGACATGCCAGGAGCTGGACAGCTTTCGTCCCTGAGAGACAATGGTAGCTGTATGGTTACAGGCTGCTGAAACTGCAATGTGACAGGGCTTGTGATTCTGAGTATAGGGCCAGCCCATACATCCTTCCCCTTAAATTCTTTTTGGGGAATTTCCTGCAACTAATCACAGAGACGAGAAATATTAGAAGGTTGTAAAATTTGTATTTATCACTATTTTACTTAAAATGTAGAGGTGATCTGGAACAGTAATTCGAGAGCTTGTTTTCATTTATTTATTTATTTATTTATTTATCAGTTTTTATACACTTGATCCGCTCTACATTCATATTAGCTGTACAAAGGTACGTGTCAGGCTTAACTGCAAACCAGGGTCAAGTAAGTTGAAAGGTTTTTGAATAGTAGCTTCACACAATTCAATGCAGACACGTTGCTAAGTTTCAGTGACGGAAGAAGCGCACGTTTATCAATTATGAAGAATTCCTCCTTTTGATCACTCTTAAGGGAGCTAGATAGTATGGAAAATCAACACGGTGTTGACAACAGTAATACTTTGAATTATTTGAAGGAAGACATTCAGGTTTGCAAATATGCTTTGTCTCCTTCGTAGTCGTTCTTTGGGACGTCACGCAACGCACCTTCACAGGGAGGGTGACGAGCGTTGCGTGACGACACTAAAATGGTTGCGTAAGAGACTATGCCTTACCCAGCGTTATGGAGAAATTATTAACTAACCTTGACGACGACATGATGCTCTTCGCCTTTCGGTACAGCATGTTCAGGAATAGAAACATTAAAGAGTGGATGCTCAGGCAAAGAAAGGACTTTTCCTTCAGAAGTAAGAGTGAACTCGTTCGATTTCAGACGGCAAACAACTGCAAACGTTGAGCACTGTGTTACTTTAAACTCAGCAACCGGTAGAAAATAATCAGGAATACCACTTGATGAGGCAGGGATGTCTGTAATGAAAAAAAAAATGCAGTTTTCCAGTTTAGTGATGCAGTCAAACCGGTTCTACTGAAAGACAGCCTGTATAAAACAGCCATTTAGCAATTATTGAATGAGACTGAGTATGAAAGGTGGATAACACACTCCAAGATCATTCAAAATAATTCCAAGTTTAAAATCAAGCTAAGACATGCTTACCTCAGTCATATCGATAGTGCATCTTTATCGAGAAGCTTAGGAGATAAAGGGCTGTTCAGGTCTGCAAATATGTTTCAAATAGCAGATGTCGTCCGTCGAGTTGTCTTCTTGCTGTTCTTGCCATGTTTATAGACAATAGTTCGCCGTGAAACAAGTAAAATGTTCTGTCATTACTCACTTTACCTTTACTCACTTCGAAAACAAATCAACCTCGTCCCCAGGTTTTCTCGGTTAACGCTTCAATAATCAGCAACTTTGCTGTACCTTTGACGTCATCTTTTCAATATGGCAAAATTCTTCCAAATTAGGTCAACTGTAGCTGGTTATGATGACTTATGCGTGTGATTTTAGCCAATCAGAAACGCAGAATTATTTTGAAAGAGTAATAATCTCAATTGCGCAACAACTTTCTATTTTCCAACGTTCTATAACCAAATCATGATTTTTTTCTTTGTTTGACTTTATTATACGGTTTGATCTAAGTTACCTAATTATTTTAACAAAAAAAAAATCAGGTGAAAACGCCCCACGAAAGACTGCCCTTTCTGCAGCTCGTCATATGTACTATCAATATCTGCTCTACAATGCTACATATAGCTGCTATTGTTGTAAACTGTAAATATCGTAACTATTATCCCCCCCCTCCCCGCCACAAAGGCCTTTTCAGGGATAATTTACAACACTGGTTAGCGGGCTTTTGCCAGACTACTTGTGGCGCAGTTTACAAGTCAAGGAATGAGGGATCATTATACGTGTCTAAGAAACTGCCCACCTGCCCCTCCCCTAAGCCAACATTTTGCCGTAAGTGAGAAGTAAGAGTTGATGTTGGCTTAGGGGAGGGGTAGGTGGACAGTTTCCCAGAAACGTAAAATTATCCGGAATGAGTAATGATTATCCCTAGAGAGTGTGAATTTGAGATAGCCCACCACACCGGGGAATACGGTTCCTTCGTCATGAACTAATCACGTGACTGTCTCATCAGCGCCTTTTCCTTACCTGCTAACGACCGCATGTCAACGGTCTGAGAAATGTCACTCCACACGTTAGTATCCCTGTCAATCAACATTTTCGCCACAACCTCATATCCTTTTATATCTGCTGCACAATGGGAAATCACCAGTGTCGCAGCTTTGCTAAATTCGAAACCTTGAGCGTTGTCGGTCGATAGTTCAATAATGCCACTGACAATAGCTTCATTGTCATTCAAAGGAGGGGAACAAACCGATGAATTCCTTCTAAAGACAGTTACTGTTTTATCCTCAGATACAGCATCAGGAGGGAATGTAACGTGTGCGGCCACTTGTTTAAGATTCCAGTACGTACCTTGCTTGGACACCATATCCCTTAAAAATAAAAATAAAATAAAGTTTTGACAAGCAACCACAGGTGAAATAGGCCAACTTTTTTCAAGTTAAACTCTTCCGCGGTGGAAAAAATAACAAGAAGAGGCTTACTTAATTTCATCTAAGTTTTAATATCAAAATTGGAAACACGACATGACATAGCCCTTTTCAAGCCGACATCATTGGCACTTGAATCTTCGTTTCTAAGTTCCGCCCACCTAGTTGTGGGCCTATCTATCTGTAAACAGAAGATACATCCGGTTTTTATTTCCGTCAGATGTAAGCCCCCTCTAGTTTGCACAGAAATGAGTTCGATTTTTTTTTAAGCTTAAAAAAGCGAGGAAATTCAAAAAGTATTTTGATCGACATTGCTATGTAGCTTTTTTAGTACGGTTACAGCCAACTCCTCCCCGCCACCCCCACCCCCTCGTGAGCCCTCTTAAAACCCTTACGAAGTTGAATAAGCCAAGAGCTTATGAGCGGAAGTTGACGATATCCGCGTTAGGAAGATTTTACTGAATATCACATTAAAGTACTTACTTGAATACAACGATATAATCGTTTTTAACTGGAGTTCCGTCTTCAGACTCTAATTCAATCTTTTCTTCAGGCCCACTCACAATCATTTCTTGGGATCCTCCTTCAACTTCTTGCTCTGGCAGGGTTACAATATCCTCTTCTGAACCTACTGTGGTCACTTCCTCAGATGATTCTGTCCCAGAAGCCTCCGCAGTTACCGCTTCAGCGTCTTTTTCAGCTTCTACTACTACTTCTTCTTCTTCCTCTTCGCCAGCATCCGACGAGAATTTTTCGAGCAAAGAGCTCATCTGTACTTGAAGGACTTGAAATTAAAAAAATAATAATAAAAATAAAAAACCGAGATAACGACGAGTTTTAGGTTTCTTTACTTAGCGGTATTTATTATCTACAAATGTGTTGTTAGCTATCGTACCTAGGCCAAACCTCGTAGTACAATGGAAAAAGCCTTTACCCTAAGAGTCGGGTTATTTAAACGAAGTCCGTGTTAGATCGCGGTTTAAAAAATCTTTGGACATCCAGATCTCAGGTCTTTCTTAGTGCGTTATTTTAAGAAGACAAATGCTTTTCCAGTCTACGCTATTTGCTTTCATGAAACTGTTCACGATAAATTGTCTTTGAATAAAAGCGTTCGGCAAACTGAAAATGGCTTAGGACGCGGTTATGTTAAACACTGGTTAGTCTCCGTTTAAATAACTGACCCCAAAAGTTAAAAACTGGATACGATATATATATCATATTCATGAGGTAGATATTTCTGCCACTCTGATTCCTGTCCAAGGAGTAGCATCCAAGTAAAACAGTTATAAACGTATGGCAATCAAATCTTAGATCAGAGAACTAACTACAGATCAGTTGAGGTTTCTGTGTAACTGAGCACCTACCCCTCCCATAAGTCAACATTAACGATTAATTCTCACCTAGGGCAAAATTGTCACTTAGGGGAGGGGTAGGTCCACACCTGCGTCATCACCCCAGTATCGGCCTTACCAAAAGCCTTCTTAAGTTTCTTTTTATTTTCCTATCGCTCTTTTCCTACCCAGCTGGCAGAGCACTTCTTTCACCTCCTCGAATTTTGCGTACTCGGGAATAAATGTATGAAACGAGTAAGATCTTTCTTGAGCATGTACAGTTTGGAAGCCAGGGGCTCGTTTCTCAAAAGCCCCGGTAACTTTTCGGGCCCGAAAACAAATATTCAAATCGAAATATAAAGAATGAGAGCGCGAGTCCTGGCTAGCAGTCTACTCCATTTTGTTTCATAAACGGACACAGCTTCTCGGGACTTTCGAGAAACGGGCCCCAGGCAAACAGATGCTTGCACTGAGAAACCACTTTGACAATACCTCACTTCGAAAAAGAGTGATAGCCTGGGATCCAAATTAGGCGCGCGCGCATTTATAAGATTATTTGGGGGAGGGGGGGAGCGAATGTAAACAAACAGGCGGACAGAGAAGTGGAATGTTTCAGCAGGGTTAAAACAGCTCAAAATGGCAAAACGGGAAGTGGAATTGACAGAAAAAAACATGAAAACGTGAAGCAGAAGGAGGACGATGTGTCTGGAGCAATTTTAGCAAAAACAACTTGCATGTCTCGTAAAGGTGGCTGCTCGACTTGTCCCCCAAACAATCCCATAAATGAGCGCGCGCTTAGTTTGGGTCCCAGGCTATCACCCTTTTCCGAAGTGCGCTATGGAGAACAATTAAGACTGATTAATTATTAGTCAATAAGATTGACTGATTATTATTCAATAAGAAATCATCATGAAATGTTACCTCTCGGTGTTAGCGAGGTGCTTGGCTGTTTTTTCTCCCTCAGATCCTATAAGAGAAATTTGTTAAGATAAAACGGATTAGAGGTAAAGTATGGTACATGATAAAAGACACACCGGACTTTTTTGTAGGAAAAAAGGTTCGAGTTTAATGCCATATTTAAGTTCGTCATTTTTGCGAGTTTATAACCCTTTATTGTTTACTTACAATATAGCAGGAAAAGTAAAAAATTAATATATAAAATAATAAGCAAGGCATAGTCATAAACACTCGGTAACTGACTTTCAAATTTTGCCTGTTTGATTATTGGATATTCAAAAACAAAAATTCATTTAAAAAAAGTGGTGTGTAATGTTCGATCTCAAACCAACGTTACTAGAATTTCATGAAGGTGAGAATAAAAATATCTCTACACTACCGAAAATATACAGTAAAAACCGTTCATCAAAACCTACAAAGTGATGTAAAAATTAATAGACCCTATAGGCTAAACTTTTAAGATTTAGACCACCATTTAAAACAACAACAACAAAAAAATTCAAGCAAAAATCTTGCGCATCAAGGAAAAAAAAGACATAAAAAAGGAAAAGCAGTAAAAAGCAGTAAAAATTCGTGGAGAGTGATCGCCTGCTCTGAGTGAGATCTTATTAAACATAACAATAATTTTAGTCTTATCACAGCTCACTGGCATTTCCCTCTTAAAATATAAGAACCTTTTTGTAAAAGAACCTAGTGAATATCCTACACTCTGTGTAGACTACAGTAAATGCTCAAAATAGGAGGACTCTTTACCGCCAAGTTGGAAAACGGTAGGTTTTTAACCCCAAAATTTTACCTTTAATGCAGCAAGGTAGACTTTCACTCTTTCTTTTTCTCCAATCGAAGACGCCAGCTCTCTCATCTTATTAAGAAACTTCTTCTTAACGGAAGGTTCCATTTCAGTGTATCGTATTTCCCATAATCTTTCACGAAAATTCAATTCTTCTTTCTTATATCTCTTACGAAGATCTTTCATTTTGAGTTCGTCGCACAATTGTAGTATTCCCTTGATCATTTTTTCTCTAGCCACCAACTTCACTTTTGATTCCTCTGCACGTTTTCCTTCTTCCCACTGCCTTTGCCAGGTTGCCAAGAGGTTTTCTTTAAATTTCTTGATACTGTTTTTCTCTCCAATGTCCTTATACAACTCTTCCACCGCTTCTTTTAGCGTTGATTTCTCCTGTTTCTCCTCACCGACAAAATCGGACCTGACAAGGACTTTCTTAAACAGCGCCATCTTCCCCTGTTTGTGCTTAAGAAGTTTTTCATGCTTATCGTGTCGACTACAGAATTCAATTAACTTGTCGAAGAAAGCAGTTCTCTCTCTCAGCAGTTCATTAAGCAGATTATTGTCTGTGGTCCCGTCAAATTCATTGTTAAAGCTTTCCTCGGTAATTCCTTGCATTCCATCATAGAACCAGAGAGCTTCTCTTTCATACTTGTCTATGAGAGCTTTTTCTTTCTTATCTGTCAATCCAAACAAACTGGTTCTTTTCTCCAGTAGATATAGTATGGCATCAATAATCTCCTTATTGTAAGGAGTAAAGTTAAACTGTGGAGAAGCTTTCTCTTCTTTCCAGAAACGCTCACAAAATGCCAAAGCGTCTTGCCTAAACTCTTCTTTTTCTTTTTCGGCACCTCTCTTCTTTAGGAATTTATGCATATCAAAGACGCCTTTGATAATTTTTCTCCAAACCGCACTTTGGTTCCCAGCACCCAATAATTTCTCCATTTTCCAAGCTTTTAAGAAAAAGTCCAAGGCTTTGTCATAAGTCGCTAAGTTTGCTTGAATGACTCCCAGTTGAAAAATGCTTCGCACAGTATCCGGGTGATCTCCAAGAATTTTATGTCTGATTTTAAACGCCTTCTCTGCCTCCTCTTCGGCTTCTTTGTACTTTTCTTGGCGAACGTAAACATTGGCGAGATTTCTACAAAACAGTGCTTCATCTTCATATCCCAAACATTTGAGCTCCTCTAAAAGTTCAAGAGCATCTTTGTAGCATTTCACTGCCTCTTCATACTCTCCTTTGTCCTCATGAACTGTGCCAATCTGATTCTTGTAAACGGGCATGTCGTAGTGATAATCAGAGCCGGATAATTCTTCTCGCATTTTAAGTGCCTTGTTGTAGAACTCAAGAGCTTTCTCCGGTCTGCCAAGTCCGTAATAACAATTGCCTAGAGCGTTATAACACCTGGCAAGATTGGTGTCAAGTTTTAACGGACCCTCCATGAGATCTAAAGAGGACTCTAAACATTCAATCGCTTGGTGGTAGTCTCTATTTTGGTAGTAGATTTCTCCCTGAAAATACAAGTATAGCCCTCGGGTCAGCTTGAAAGATTCGGTAGATTTGTCATCAACTTGTTTTAATGACGTGGATGCCTTTTCCAACACTTCAAAAGCTTTCTGAGCACCCTGAGATTCTGAGACCAGCCTGGCTTCCCAACATCGTAACTGAGCGTGAAATAATGAACCTGCAAAAAAGGGACACTTTACATTTGCAACAATTGTAAACCTTGACACGCTAAGTCTATTTGATTCTCTTTGTAAATATACCTCATCTGTCAGAGTGCTAGAGAAACTGGCAGAGTTAGTAACATGATGCTGTCTTGTACTGTTGTGGTAGCAGCAGGAACAGTAGCAGTAGCAGTGCAAGTGGTGGTGGAAGTGTCAGATGTAGTGCTTGTGGCCATCATAGTGGTGGCGAAAGCAGTAGTGGTGATGACTGGGGCACTCTGGTGCAATATTGGAAGTGCCAGTAATAGTGGCTGTGGTTATGGCACTGGTAGTAGTATTGGTAATGGTACTGGTAATGGTGGTTGTGGTAGCAACAGTGGTAGTAATAGTAGTAGAGGAAGTAGTAGTGGTAGTGGTGGTGGTGGTGGTATTGGTGGTTGTGGTGGTAGTAGAGGTGGTTGTGGTATTGGTCGTAGTGGTGGTGGTTGTAGTGGTACTAGTAGTGGTGGTGGAAGTGGAACTGCTAGTAGTTGTAGTAGAATGCTTTATTTGTACCACCATAACATTTATAGTATCACAAAAAATAATGCTCATTTCTAAAATTAATTACAAACCAAGTGGTATTGGTGGTGGTAGTGGTAGTGGTAGTGGCAGTGGTAGTGAAGGTGCAGGTAGTGATGGTACTGGTAGTGGTGGTGGTAGTGGTAGTGGTTTTGGTAGTGGTAGTGGTAGTGAGTGTTCTCTTTAACAGGTGGTAACTGGTAAAATTTACCACCTGAAGCAACACTTCTTACTGCCTACAACAACTTGAAGGTTCACTAAAATTTAAAAAAGTAGATTACAAGAAGGGAAGTTGAGATCTGATCCAATTCTCACAAGGAGAATGAATAAATATACAGCTATTTTGAAAAAGGTTGTTGGAAAAAGTGCACGCAACAATCCCGAAAGGTATTGTGGGTGGATTTCAGTTCACTGTTCTTTAAAGAAATCTAGAAGAATGGCACAAAAAGCCATGGACGTATGTTTACGAGTGCTATAGAAAAGAAACAAGAGTAGGTTTGACAGCTATAGTGTCAGGAACAGTCTGTTGATCATACCCCATAATACCTTTCGGGATTGCCGCGTGCGCATTTTGTCTGACAACCTTTCTTGAAATAGTTGTATATGGAAAAGTACTAAAGTATACACAGCTTTTCGTTTTATGGGCCACGCATTTTGCAAAGAGGACATTGAAGACACAGTAAAATTATTGGAATCAATCTTTTTTTGTTCTCTTAAGATAACTATGGCAGATTTCCATAAAATAGGTCTTAATATAAGGGAACGATGTTTGAGGAAACTTAGCTCCAAAATTTCCCAGTAAGGGTGAGGCCATGTCCCTCACTCCACTACCCCCTCCCCCCCCCCCCTCCCCAAGAAATTGTGCCTCTGGTGCATATTTTTTGCCTTACTGGCCAAAACTGGTCCCTTACCTTCTGAGGTAAAATTTAGGGAGAACACTGGGTAGTGGTAGTGGTAATGCTGCTGGTAAAGGTGGTGGAAGTGGTATTGGTAGAAGCAGTGGTAAGGCCAGTGGTACTGGTGTTGGTTAGTCTTGGTAAGGTCCAAATGCCAGTTACATGGAATGGAAAGGGCTATTTTGTTTAAATAAATGGGTCATAATATTGGCAAGAAAACCTGTGAAACTACTGTGAGTAATTCACTGACAAGAGAGCATTTGCTTTGATGACAGAATTCTGAAATTTTTTAGTGCAGTATCGGTATTTGGGATGAAAATAAAATACTAGAAAACAATTTGAGACACCTAGTTAAAAAGTTATGCAGGGATTTTTGTCATTTCCTTGCAATAAAATAATGAAAAGAAAAACATACCTAAGTTTCCATCATCTTTGCACATCTCTGCCCAGGAATGGAATAGCTTAGTCTGCTTCTTTCCAGACAACATGGCATTAAAAAGGGACACAATCAATGCACTTTCACGGTATCCACCTGGAACACTAAAGTACTCTGGTAACAAGGCAATGTCAATGGCAAACTCAAAGTTTGGACGATCTCTTTTAAACTCATCAAATGCCCTGATGTAGCTAGACTCTATAAATCCAGCAATTCGTTTCATCTTTGACATAAAGTGCTCATAAAATCGGCCCTTCGCTTCAGTGTAAGATTCATAGAACATGGCATCATTTTTAATGCTTTCAGCATACTTTCTTAAAAGTGGATGAATGTCATACATCAACTGCTTGGCATCTTCGTCAACTACATGAATAATTTCATTGGTTACTAATCCTTCAAGCTGTGCCACTGCTTCGGACATGCTAACACCAAGAATTTTGGCAGCAGTGGAAGCAGTAAAGGGCCCATGAAACAATGATACTGATACAGCAGAAAGCCTCAAAGTGTCAGATGGTAAAGTATAGAACATTTCTCTGATCACTGATATTTGCTCATCATCAATGCCTTCTTCTTCTGAATTAAAGGGTCTTTCTTCTGTATCCTCTTCATATTTTGATTTCACAGGAACTCCAGCTTCCTCTTTAGAGTTCATTTCTATCTCATCAATCAGATCACTGGGAGACTTTCTCCTTTGTTTCAAAATTGCAGCTGTTCCTTTCAATAGCAATGGAACTCCTTTGCAGATGTCAAGAAGCTTCTTCTTCTGCTGTGCCTCAACATGAAATGTTTCTGTAGGTAGCAAGATTTTCTCTGAAAAATTATTTGTAAGAGGTTGCAACTTAAAATCAGACACCTTCTCTGAATTATTCAGCTGAGTCCTTGAGGTCAGAAGCATGCTCAGGGAACCTTTCTCGCCATCAAACTCTGACAGCTTTCCCAGGAAGTACAAAAATTGTGTTCTTAAGTTCTTGCCCTCCTTTCCCTTTCCTTCAGTGAACTGATCCACATTGTCAAGAAGTAACAGAACAGGAGGACCTTTGCTTGTCACATTCAACAGGTCATGAATTCTTCCAACAACAGTACCCATATCAAAACGAACGTTTTGGATATTTAGGTCAAGTTTACCCATGATGTTCAGATAAACTGCCGTCATATCTTTAGCTTCTCTTAAATCAAAGACATATTTCTCACCAGCCCATTTATCACAAATGTTCCTAGCAAGAGTTGTCTTTCCCACTCCCGCGGATCCATACAAATTAACAACAAAAGGCTTCATTTTAAGTTTTTCCGTAATCTCCTTGAACTCCTCAATTCTTCCGTGTAATTCCTTTTCCGGCTCAGGCTGCGATGGACGGGAGATCTCAAAGTCTTCAACTCTTTTGTTAATGTCCTGCTCATTGTTTGATCTTGTAGCAATGGACTCCTTGATTAGAGTCAGTTTTTTACTCGATATATAACCGAACTTACACAAACGATCCAAACATGACAACACATCTTCATTTCCCAGCGATTCAAATTGCTTTCCATAAATTCGTTTTGAAGACTTCACGACATCCTCTGATTCAGCTGGAGAAAACTGCGAGGATATGTCCCTAAAAAGTTGATTTAGTTGACTTTCCACCAAAGTGGACGCCATCTTTGATTGCACCGCTGGCCAAAAGAAAGCCGGAAGTACTTAGTCTTCCGCGGCTCGAATAGTCACGCGAACCTAACCTCGAGTCACGCACATTTCATATAGACCTTGGACAGAGTAAGTTTAACCTAGTTGTTTTGGGGACGGATGTCTGGAACCGGAATAAGTAAACCCCAAATTCCAGTCATCGTGTTAAACCATTCTCTGTTCCTTAACAAAGCAACAAAGAAAACAAAGGGAAAACGGTACACTGAACCCCAGGCAAACGACACGAAAGCTAGCAATCTCCTTCCCGTCTCCCCCCGCCCCCACTAAAAAAATCTATAACAGCAATTAAAAACAACAGCACCAGGGGTAAAATTATTTTCGTGGAAGAATTTAGAATAGGCCTTGACAGAAGTGTAGGGCTTTTAATACCCTGTCCCACCCATAACCTGACAGTGGGGGGGATGTCAAGGTCAGGTTACCCTACACTCCCTTAGTAATATAAAAATCTGAAGATATAGAGATTCAACTCTCTCGACGGGTATTTATGGGACAGGTACTTATGTGTGCGTCTTAGAGTGATGTCCTTACTTCGTGAGAGTAAACTAACAGGAGTAAAGAAAGGCAGGGACCATTTCGAGGGGTCCATCTATTAGTCAGGGCCCAGTTCCTAAAAGGCGAATTAGCGCTAGTCCAGGATTAAAAATTCATTCCGTTTTTGTATTTACCTTCCTGTGTATTGCTTAGAGTAACATTTTGTGATATCATTACTGTATCTCACAGTAAAGGCTCAACAGTATTTTGTAAGCTCGAGTTTCATGTTCTTAGACACGAAAACCTTGCTTAAAATTTGGCTTGATCCTGAGTTGATCTTAATCATCTTTCGAGGAAACGGGCCCTTCAGGTGTCTAGGAAAGATTTGATTGTAAACAGGTTCACAATCGCAACATTAAAAACCCAATTATCCCTAGGAATTGCCTTTTTGTCTCCGAAAAACAACCAGTGGAAAAACAACATGAAACGACAACATAAATCAAAGAAAAAAGTAAAAAAAAAAAAAAAAATTGAGACATTTAGCCAAACCTGTTTCCCTGCCCATTACTTTATAGACAATGACGACTTTATGGCAGATAAATGCAATCATAAAAATCCAAGAAGAGCCTCCTGAAAGATGTCAGAGGCAAAAACAAATCTTACTTTCCAAGTCCAAATTCTTCACCCACTGTCCCATTCAAAGTTTGTCTCAGTGGCGAAAATATATTGTGCCTAGAACTTTTCCAGTCCAAAAAATAGGCAAATATCACCCTTTCAATCAAGGTATTTATTTTGAACGTGTATGGACTGTTGAAACAGTTTCCTATCATGCATTTTAGATTAAATCAGAAGCATATGCTTCTGATTAAATATAATAAATACAGTACTTTATTAAGAAAAAACTTTGGAGTAAATAAGATGCCCTGTACATGTAGCTAAAAAGGAATCTGTATGAAAATTAAAGTATATACATCAAATATCAAAACACCTGTACATATGTTAAAAATAGATATTAATATAATAAATGAAATTTATAAAACTAATACTGTACACCTATCAGTTTGCCTGAGGTACTTAACAACTACACTATACATGATGATAGAATACTACAAATTTTTCAGTTTCTAGAGTGGAGAGTCTGTGTGTAGAACAGTAATACTAAGAATTTTTTTCTTTTTTGTGAAGAGACATATTTACATTAAGCATTAGAATAAACGTGTGAGACATATTAACTGAATTTAAGTGCTTGTCTCACTGTAACTAATACCAGGCACAACTCACAGACCTGACTCAAAGAAAATAGAACTTTAATGACCCAAACCCAAAAGGGGGGGTTGTCTTATTCGAGCTCTCTGTATATTCTGACTTATATTCACGTATATGTTATGGTTCAATTTTATCCTTGGTTTAACTGATTTTCTTTTCTTTTGTTTCAAACTCATCATCACACATTACCATACCCTATAACGAAGAAAGGGATAGAAAATTTAAAGCAAGGATAAAATTAATGCACAACATATATCAGATAGCCGGCTACAACATAAATACCATGTACTTTGTACACTAATATATATATATCTAAAAGATATTAAACCGATTACAAGTGAGAGGTAGATTACTGTCAATTCAGTGCAAAGAAGACAGAAAAAATCTAATCAGTCAGTCAGTAGCAACAAAATTGTTCTGCCAAATCTCTACGTTTCACGCGTATGTCACACAGCGCTTTGTTCAGGACACGGTAAGTAGCAGCTGAGCCCTCTTTTTCTTTCCAGGCGATCAACATGGCGTAAGCTTTCTCAGCAAGTTTGTCATGGCCTTTGTCAAATTCTTGCAACTCTGCTTTATCGAAGGTTAGCCGACGCCCAAGCTTTTTCCAATGGTCAGGGATTTTTTCCGACAGATCTTCTAGTTCATCTTCTGTTGGAACCCCTTTCTTCACTTCTCCTACAAAGACTGAAAAGAAAAACATAAAGGTACCATGTGACCGCATTACCTCAACTTACTTCGGACAAAAAAGGAATGAGAGAATCAATGCATGTACGTAAAAGGATGATCAATGAGTTAATAAGGATGTGGGAGTATGGGTGGGTAGGTGGGTGGTCCAATGGGAGTTTGGGTTTGTTGCTGGGCAGGTTGCACAGTGAATGGAAGAATGGATGGATGAATGAACTTGGCATAACAGGACAAGTGCATAAGTGAAGGAACAACGAAATTAAAAAGCGATTCTGGTAGTCCACGCTTCTGCTGTTGAAATTGACAAATACAATAACCTGTTGCGTTATTAAATGTTTTCAGTTGTAGAGGAATAGTCAAGAAAATGTTCATTAAAAATTTACGAAGTATGAACAACAGTGTCGTGTTTAAAATTAGAGTATGAGTAGTCTCCATTTTTCTTCAGGGATAGTTGAGCGAGCGAAACGCGAGCGCGCGTGAAAATCACCTCACGCGAGAAAGGCGAGACGCGTGGGGTGATTTTCATGCGCGCTCGCGTTTCGCTCGCTCTACTATCCCTGAGGAAAAATGGGGACCACTCGAAGTCTAGTTTAAAATAGGACTTTTCATCAAAGTGCCACGTAGCTCAATGGATTTTTTCCGTCATTTGCATAACATTCAATAGGCTATTAGGATTTCCAAGTTGCTTCTCCTACAGCGCCCGCCTTCGGTTCACTTTTCAAAATCAAACCTAGACCATAGTGAACTCTTGAAACTGTACACTAAATCCATTATAATATTAAATTAAATGAGAAACTCACCGGTAGACGGTAGCCCAAGTTTCCCTAGATCCTGAAAAAGACATAATATTAGATATATATTGTTTTAGCTTGCAATTTGAAAAGTGTTCCTATAGACTAACAATTCTCTATTTGTGATATCCCAAGCATCTACAATGAATGTATTTGTTTAAGATCACAAAATATTGAACAAACGAGATTACAGTCAATCCGAGTAAAACGTTCTTCTTGTCTTAAGGCGATTGTAAGTGCCAAGAGAAACTGAAAAAAAAAAATGCTTATGGAACATTTTGAAGGGACAACAAAGAGTATTATGGTATTTTGAAAAACGCCTATTGAAAGGAAAGTTCAATAATAACGGCTGATTTTTGTTTATTTTAAAAGATGAGCTTTGCACATAGAGGAAGAATTTTGTACAAATTGTTTCAACTGACGGGAACAAACACAAAATGGTACATAAAACTTACCGTGCGATCGATGCCTTGAGTGGACAGATTTAAGTGCACTTTACACAACGGAAATTTTCTCCCTGTGGGTTTCAAGGTGGTCCAGAATTTTACTACTGCTATGTCTTTGTCCTTATTCGGACGAACTCTCAATTCAGTCTTGAACGCAAAATCTTCTTCTAACCTATTAAGACATAAATTTAAAACGTTCAACAAGTATAAAAGAAACAGTGTTCTTCATAAGCTGACTTTAAAAGTCATGAATGAAATAAAACATTGCAAAAATTATCGCAGTGACTTGAAGTGTTTCAGTGCGTACTCTGCTCCGGGTACGAAGCTTTACTATATGGCTAAGTCTGTTTTCGCCATACGACTGGTCAATTTGGTAAGTTGCTATCCGGACCAAACTTTCTGGTTTAAAGAAAGTTATTATAAGACGTCTGTCAACCTCGAGGACTTGGATCCGTTTGATTTTGTCCTTCAACGTTTTGACCTGTGTATATTTGTGAAAGCCGATGAAGAAACTGAATCGTTATCCTATCGAAAAAGGGGATTCTAGTGAGTTACGTGAAAATGTTAACGCATTACACAGTTAAGAAGACGAAAATCGACTAGTAGAGATCTATTCGAGAAGCTTTGTCTAACAGAAAATGAAAGATTCCTTCGATAAATATGATAACAAAAATACCTGCACCTGATCATCTTGATTAGCTTCCCATAAATACAGTGTTTTTTCAAAGACCAACGAAAGAATGATGGAAGTGACTTCGAGCCAGACACAATGTCTAGTTTTCAAGACTTCAGCGCCACATTGGCGAGCGAATACTTACAGTGCTCCTAGTTTTGACCGAATAAACTATTTCCACATGGCGCATTTGCATTTTGATTTTACTTTCAAGAGCTATTGTTTTCGTTAGCCAATTAAAACTTTCATTTTCCAACGCCTGTCAAATGACTGTCAAATCGTTTGTCCTGCACTTTTTTTCCGGTCCCCCAAACAGGAAGCAATATAATAAACATCTCATTTACATAGCCTCGTGTTTTTTGGTCCGTATTGTACATTACGAATCCTCGTTTTTTTCAATCGATTTATGGCCCGCGCACGAAAAAGCTCGGTCGGTAATGTACAGTACGGACCGAAAACTCGGCTAATAAGAGGTATTTATGTCGAGAGGCCATGTGACTCTTTATTGCAATGTAGCATACATTACAACGTACCTAAACTTCGCATTGTTTTTAAAAAGGTACAGTTGACCCATTACCGAAGCTATCACGACGCTAAACCACCGATTTTCATAGTTATTCGAGTTCCAAGCAGTTCTGTGAATCACGTTTGTTTGAGCCACAATGGGTGATGTAAATGTGGACTTACTTGAGAAAGACTTGGCCAATGTCCTTCTTCTTATATGGGCGTATTCCTTCTGATACTGATACGAATGCCTTGTCCTCCCCTGGTATCATATTTTTCTTCGAAGCTCCGTCATATGGCGTTATGCCCTTGTCTTCAAGCTCATCTATCACCTTTCTTTTTACGTGAGGGGGGCAGCATATAAGGTATAAAATGTCTGGAAAATCCCGACAAAAGTAAGCGACGAAGATGGCCGGTTTCGGCTGATTCCAAATGAAGCGGGAAAGAAAACTCGTAATTCCCAGTCTTTCAGCACTGGAGTTTTCTTGACGCCCATCAAGGAAATACGAATATCTAGACGAAGGAAATTTGACAAAAGAATTTTAAAGGGTTTGGTTAACTTCTGACCATAACTGAACAGCCTTAATGCAATTCAGTTCGTGTTTCTATCCGGAAAAGTACTCTTACAATGGCACCCTCCTGTATATAAAAGTTAAGCATCATCCAGAAACAAGCCCACGGCTTTAGAAGTCATTCTTCCAGGCTACACCAAGTCATATTAGGTCAGCACTTCATGAATTTCTTGTAATTAAACTGAGGTGCCATGGTATCACCGTTCGCCTACTAAACGGTTTAGAAGTTTCCTATCTAGTCATCAAACAACTTACAGGCATCACTTGCTGAATACCCACTCTTCTTAGTCTTCTGTGCCGTTCACAGCACCATAAGACACATTCTTTGAGCCTTGCAGGATCTGTTTCTGATTACGGTGTTCTAATATGGTTTCTCTAAGGCAGGTCATTTAACAAAACAACGGAGACAGCAAAGACAACAACGACAGTACAAGTGCATAATATACATTTTGGTAAATTCCTTTGCCGTATCTGAATTGCTAAAGCATAACATAAATAATTCATAATTTTACCTCACCGTCAATCGTCTTAGGGACACACACACAAAACAAACAAAAAATGCTTCAGTTCTTACCGACAGAACCGATCAACCTGAAACCTTACGAACTTTCCATCAAAACTTGGGGGTTCTGGAAGATCACCAGTGATTTCAATCCATTTCTTCATTTTATCCTCAGTCTTCAGGAACAATACTCTGATCCTATAGACTGTGGGATCTGGATTCAAGACTTCTTGCCCTCGACGAGAAATTGGCAGTTGAATGGTGACAAGCCTCAAGAACTGGACAGCCCGAGTGATTCGCAGCACAGGCCCAATGATAATATTTTCCCCTTCAAATTCTTCATTTGAAACTTCTTGCACCTGTTTCATTAAAAATGATAATCACAAGTTGTTTGTTACAATTCCCACTGTGAAAATAACGCCCAGTTTTTTCAATAACGTGAAAACAATACTCAGATGCAAAGTCTCACTAAATACGCATGTTTTGACCTGCTCTGCTAATGAGCGAGAGGCGCTTAGAGGCGTATAGTGTACGAAACTCTAAAAACTCCGCATTCTTTCATTGTTTATTAAACACTATCCAAAAATCAGCCCGTCATGGATTTGTGGTCGCAATTTTTAACAGAAAGTGTATTTTCTCGGTTAACCAAGGTGGTACGCCCTCTCATATTTTACCAAGGCTTTTACGCTATGCCATGATCTCGGACATTGAGCAAAAGCCTGGTCGACCGGCTCTTCTGAAGAGGTCCTTAAACGGACTTATGCAATCACACCTACCTTTAACTCCACAGGAAACCTTTCTGTAGGTGCAACAGCATTCTCAGGAATGATAACTGTCACGCCTGGATAGTCAGGATGGCTGAATGAGCCACCACTAGATGTGATGGTGTAAGTCGGAGAAGACTTGAGACGACAAACTACTGCGTATGTCGAGCACTCAGTAATGTCCGCTTGAGCAACGGGAAAGAAAATGTCCGGTATTTTCATATGTAAAGGGTAATCGTCTTCGATATCTGTTTAAAAATAATAATAATAATAATAATAATAATAATAATAATAATAATAATAATTCATTTTTATTTACCTCGCTTTATTGTCTTTGGAAAGGTGACAAAGATTATAGAAAACCAAGTTCAACAACAGAGCCTCGAATTGAAAGCAGTACTTCATCTATGCCATGATACACGTAGTTCAAGGTTAAGTTCAGGAACAACAACACTGTTTTTTTGAAGAGTTTTTTAAAACAACTCCTCATCCGCAGTCAAATTAACCCCTTACGCAGGAGTTTGTGAAGCTGCAACGGGGGTTATTTTCCGATTCGGCACAGTTAAAATGACTTCAACGAGAGGCTAAGAAAAACTCTATTGGCAATCAGAGATAAATTAACCCCAGAACTGGTTAACTATGGAGTAAAAACACCCCCTTCCCCAAGCACCCCCCCCCCCAAAAAAAAAACAATAATAATAAGAATAAAACTATACCAAATATACCAAAAGTACTGTGAATGGGTAGAAAACAAGGGAACTAATTTCGACCCAAGGATGAATTCAAATCCCAATCTACACAAATCTAAGAGCAAACGGAATGCGTAAACACCATCTAGCTATAGGGTCTCCAGAAGGATAATCGATAATCCGCACATTAGTCCACTGTATGAAGCGATTTCCTATACCTTCCCGACAACGTATGTCAATGGTTCCTTCCACATCCTCCCAAATGTTCGTCTCCTTATCAATGAGCTTTTTTATCACCAGTTCGTAGCCACGTAACTCTGTTGCGCTGTGGGATAGTGACAGCTTCACCTTTGTGTTAAATTTTAGACCTTGTCGTGCCATGGCGAATAGTTCAATAACATTGCTAGTAATGGCCTCATGCTCCTGCAGCGGTGGTGAACAGACGCTGTTTTCCCACCTGTGGACCACCATTGAAGTAGGTTCAGACACAGCATCAGGAGGGAACATCACGTGAACACCAAGTCGCTTGATGGGCCAATGTTGAATACCTTCACTTGTTACTATCCCTCTGCATCAGCAATTACAAAATATTTCAACATTTGGTTGATTTCGAAAAAGTTGTTGTCTATTAGTGAAGACGACTCTGGATGAAGAGGAAAATATGTTGCAACGATCAGTTTGTAGATAAGGGAACGCAGCCAGTATCCTAAGGCCAGTGTCCCACTGTCTCCTAAGGCAAAGTTCTTCGACCCCTCCCGTTTTTTTTATGAGTGTGCCCCCCTTGTTAGATAAAAACAGAAAATAATGTAGCTGCTTATGAAGTCAATGGAATCTAAGATATGCTGCCACACTTTGCGAACGTTTTTTTTTTTCGACCCAGACACTCTTTAATGCTGACACCGGCAGTGGTAAGTAACATTGTTTAAGTGTGATTAAACTGCGAATAGTCTCATCTTTTAAAGAGGCACTGTAACGGGAATTCTTGTCGTCCACTTTTTAAAGGGACAGTGTCCCGAATATGCGCACGCGCGAGCGTCATCTGTTTTTTCTTCAAAAGACAATAGAACTGTCATATTGACTTGACAAGATTTCCTTCCGGACCGCACCGCCGGCAGAGATATGTTGTTTATATTCTCAAGTAATATTTTAGACTTTTAAAGAAGTCTTTCGTCTTATATAAAAATTTGGCTCGCGGTTCGAAGACTTTAGCGATTTTATCGTTAGCTGGGCCGCCTCGCGACCCGAAAATCTCGTTCCGCTCGCTTTAAAAACATATTTTCTAATTTGAAACTCGTGTCAGAGGTCAGTTGTTACAAGTCTAGTAATATCTGCCTGATTTGCTCGCGTTCTAGCCTCAAACGTTTGAAAGACATAAATAAAAATGCGATCTCAACGCTATGAATCATGAGAAAGGTTAGTCAAAAATTGTATTATGATTTCATGGCACTAGTTTTTCTAAACATGTAGCGCCTGTTTGTTGATTTTGTCGGCCGTTAGGGAGATTCATTTAAAAAAGTTTACTAACGCGTCGTTGCAAAACATTCTGCTTCACGAAGCTCCCCTCCACAAGATCTCCTCAGTCACATCAATGTCTCAATGGTTTCGTTCTTACAGTCTTTATTGTTGCCGTTTCATTTCTGCGTATTCCTTTCACAATTATCTGAGCTTGTATGGAAGCTAGCAGAAGAAATAAGCCTTCAATCGGCATCAAAGTGCTTCCAATCTTTTGGTTCTCCGGCCAACGGCAATAAAAGTAACGCCAAAAATCCAGATTTTGCCCAAATCGAAACTTAACAGGAACAATATATCATTGATCTGTAATCCTGAGAAGTTTTAGTGTCGTATTGAGCCCGGTCAAGCGCGATGCAAACGAATTTTTCACGGTTCTCTTACTCTCCTCGCATCTTTTGATTTCGCGACATCCTGTCCAAAAATCAAAGTTCGGTGCATGCGCAGTAACGGGATACTGTTCCTTTAAAATAATAAGAACTTTACCCCTTCTACGAGTGGCGCACGTACGACGGCAATTAGTGTCTTGATGTCAAAGAAACATATTTATCTATAACAAACCTTCACTTGTTAACCTTTCCTTCTTCACCTTCCTCCTTCACTTACCCGGATTCTTCTTCAGTGACATTCTGTCCTTCTGCATCATCTCCATAAGTTTCAGTTTCATCATCAGACTCTTCTTCCGATCCCTCAAGGAATCCTCGCATGGCCTCCACACCTGCCAACTCAGCCATTTGCTCATGTACCTCGACATCTTCTTTCTCTCCTTCTGCATAATCTTCACTTTCGGTTTCAGTTTCAGTTTCAGACTCTACTTCAACCTGTTCGTCCGATCCTCCGTTTGATACTGCTCCAGTGCTCTCTTCAACTGCCACACCAGCAGATTCTTCTGTGGGTTCTCCTTGTAGTACAACTTCAGTTCCCTGCGCAGATACAACTTCAACGTCTGCTTCAGTTTCGACTTCAGTCGTGTCATTCTCTTCTTCAGCATAAAGATGCGACAAGGGTGGCTCGAACAAAGGCTTCTTTTCTGAAAGAACATTTACTGTCTATTTTTTCAAAATAGCTGATGGTACCAATATGAAAAGTTATCCAGAAGTAATAAGCTCGGAAAGGAACAAAATGTTTTACACGTAGCAACGGATAGTTTAAATAATGCTGGACGGATAACTTTTGTTCCTGCTCAAAGGCAATATCCTGCAAATAATATGGCTTTTGCGTTGACTCATCAGACATTGACTTTAACATAATTTTGTGCTATACGATGGTGGGCCGCCCTGATTCATCCTGATCACGCTTAAAGCGGATGGCAGGAGTCTCATGTCAGATAAATAAAAAATAATAATCATATGTTACCTTTGGGCTTTAGTGTGGCCCTAGGCTGTTTTTTCTCCCACAAATCCTAAGAAGACAAATTAATAAAGACAAAATGGATTAATGCCCAAGAAACATACATAACAATGAGTAAGTGGCCAACGAATCAGACGTCTTTCGTATAGCAAACAGGGCTAGGAAAGTGTGATCTTTACCAGGTCGAAATAGCAACTACATAAGGAAACTCATTTTCAAGTCTTGTCTCAAATACTAGTTTGATTATCGGAATTTATAAAATTTCGACGCTTAAAAGTACGCAATCCTCATGGAATATGTCAAACCGACGTTGTAAGACCGCAAATTTTAACTCTGGGTCGTCAAAGTGTACGGGTTCATAAAGGAAAGCAATAAAATTACCCCTGTATCACTGAAAGTCTTCTGCATTACTTATCACCCCTAATATAATTTCACCTGTAAGGCAGCCAGGTAGACTTTCACTCTCTCACCCTCTCCAATCGAAGAGGCCAGATCTTTCAGTTTACTGAGGAACTTCTGCATCACAGAGGGTTCCATTTCAGAGTGTCGTATTTCCCATAATCTTTCACCAAAGCTCAAAAATTCTTCTCCATATCTTTTACAAAGATCTTTCCTTCCAAGTTCCTTGCTCAGCTTGAGTATTCCCTTGATCAATCTTTTCCTAGCCACCATGAACTCTTTTGTCTCCTCTGCACCTTTTCCTTCTTCCCACTGCTGTTGCCAGGTTTCCAAGAGACTTTCTCGAAATCCCTCGATGCTTCCTTTCTCTCCAACGTCTTCGCACAACTCTTCCACAGCTTTCTTTAGCGTTGATTTCTTCTGTTTCTTTTCACCAACAAAGTCTGATCTGACAAGCACTTTCTTAAACAGCTCCATCTTTCCCTTTTTATGCTTAAGAAGCTTGTCACGCTCCTTATGTCGACTACAAAGTTCAATTAACTTCTCCAATAATTCATTTCTGTCTCTGAGCATGCGATTAAGCACCTTACTGTCTGTTGCCTCGTCAAATTCGTTGTTAAAGTCATCTTCCGTAGCCTTCTGCATGCTATCATAAAACCAAAGAGCTTCTCTCTCGTACTCGACTATGAGAGCTCTTTCTTTCATACCCATCACTCTGAACGTACTGGTTTTTCTTCTCAGTAAATATAAAATAGCATCAATGATCTCCTTGTTGTAAGCAGTAAAGCTAAAATGTGAGGACGCTTTCTCCCCTTTCCAGAAACGCTCACAAAACGACAACGCCTCTCGCCTGAAATTCTCTTCTTCGGGGCCTTTGTTCTCTAAGGACAGGTCATACATGTCGAAGACCCCTTTAATAATAAGTCTCCAAACTTGACTATGGTTCCCCGAACCTAATAATTTCTCCATTTTCCAGGCTTTTAAGAAAAAGTCCAAGGCTTTATCATAAGCCTTCAAGTTTGCTTTGATAACTCCCAGTTGAAAAATGCTTCGCACGGTATCCGGGTGATCTCCAAGCCTTTCAAGTCTGATTTTAAACGCCTTCTTTGCCTCCTTGTTGGCTTCTTTGTACTTTTCTTGGCGAACGTAAACATTGGCGAGATTTCTACGAAAAAGTGCTTCATCTTCATATCCCAAACATTTGAGCTCTTCTAAAAGTTCAAGAGCATCTGTGTAGCATTTCACTGCCTCGTCATACTCTCCTTTGTCCTCGTGAACTGTGCCAATTTGATTTTTGTAAACTGGCATGTCGTAGTGATATTTAGAGCCAGATAATTCCTCTCGCATCTTAAGTGCCTTGTTGTAGAACTCGAGGGCTTTGTCCGGTCTCTTACGTCCGTAATAACAATTGCCAAGAGCATTATAACACCTGATAAGAATGGTGTCAAGTTTTAACGGACCCTCCATTAAGTCTAAGGACGACCTCAAACACTCAATTGCTTTCTGGTAGTTATTGCCTTGGTAATGGATTTCGCCCTCAAAATACAAGAAGAGTCCTCTAGTTAGCTTGAAATATTCGGTAGATTGATCATCGACTTGTTCTAAAGACAGCGATGCCATCTGCAACACATCAAAAGCTTTATGAGCACCCTGAGTTTCTGAGACCAGTCTAGCTTCCCAACACAGTAGAAGAGCGCGAAATAACGAACCTGCAAGAAACAAATTCCGACTTTTTGGCCATTCATTGTTTATAATTCTCTTCATAAATGATCCTCAGCTGTTGGAGCGCTAGCGGCATTTGAAGTGCAAGAAGTAGTGGCTGTACTCAGTGTACTGTAGTGGAGGTGGCTGTTGCGGTGCTTCAAGAAGTGATAGTGGTAGTGGCAGTGGTAGTGGCAGTGGCAGTGGTAATGGCAGTTGTAGTGGTAGTGGCAGTGGTAGTGGCAGTGGCAGTGGTAGTCACAGTGGCAGTGGTAGGGGTAGTGGCAGTGGCAGTGGTAGTGACAGTGGCATTGGTAGTGGCAGTGGTAGTGGCAGTGGTAGTGGCAGTGGTGATGTAGTGGTAGTGGTAGTGATAGTGGCAGTGGTAGTGGTAGTGGTAGTGGCAGTGGCAGTGGTAGTGGTAGTGGCAGTGGCAGTGGCAGTGGCAGTTGTAGGGTTAGCCACAGCCGCAGCCGCAGCCGCAGCCGCAGCAGCAGCAGCAGCAGTAGTAGTAGTAGTAGTAGTAGTATACCTTAACTGCGCCTTACTCTCCAAAGGGAGGCAGTGGTGTAGTTACAATAAAGGTTTTCATAACTACAACAAATTATGTAACATTTACAAAATTGAGGTGAATTTTTGCTACTGGGGAAATATCCCATTTTTAAAATCTTGCTTAGTGTACATAATTCCCCATACCTCAATGTTGTAACTTAAGATTCGAAATATCATTGTGTCAAAAATTTGGGATACGGTATTAAGATTAAATTTATTAAGAATTGTCTGCTTCTGAGTACTAGAAAAGGCATGAAAGGCCTTTTCTTTTTAATGTTCGAGTGCAAGTGTAAAGATTCCCGCTGGAGTTAAACGTGTACTTAAATAAGTGTATTCTTGGACAATTTCAATTGACTCACTGCTTATGTTGAATTCGATGTCAATGGGTTTCTTTGGGCATTTCTGGAATACAGTCGAACCTCCATGAGCGACCACCTCCCATAAGCGACCGCCAATCCAAAACACCAAAATTCTTCCAGTCAAAGCCTTACAGTTGGAACATCTAGTAAACGACCACCTCCTGTAAGAGACCACGACCGCTTTTTGGGCCTGACGGTTAATGATTTTCCATTGTTTTTAACCTCTTGTAAGTGACCACATGACGCATTCCCTGATCTCTATTTTACCTGTATACACTACGTTACTTAGAATATACGTAGAACTTTAGTGACAACATGGAACTACACATGTCCTAACTTAGACACTGCATTCAATACATTATCTTCCATAAAGTAGATGTGCCTGGACCTCTTCTCAGAAGAGACTTCCTGTGGTTCAATTCTTGTAAAAATGCAGAGACTGAGTGGTCGCTTATGGGAGGTTCGACTGTATTATAAGTTTTGTCTTCTTCAGATCAATTCTTAGCTTCCATTTGTCACAATACAAGGAAAGCGCATTTAAAAAGTTTTGCAATACGGTTTTCAATCTTGATAGAATAACCAAATCATCTGCATAGAAAAGTTAATTTTTTCCCCATTTGGAACAACAAATGGGTCACATAACGTGTTTTTGAATAAATGTGGCAGGTTGTTTAAATGGAGGTTAAATTAAAGGGGGCTTAAAATACAGCCTTGACGTACACCTCTGGAGTATAAAAAAGACTGAGTTTTGTTTTCATCGATTTTGATGAAACATGTCGAGTTGCAATAAAGGCTTTTAATGACGTTGTACAAATTTCCTCCTATATTCGTTTTAGAAGCTTGTAAAGCAATCCTTCATGCCAAACAGAGTGAGAGCCAAATGCTTTATGAAAATCTACGAAACAAGTTTAGACTTTCTCCTTATGATGATGCACATATTTATCTATTAGGGTGCTTAGAGTGAAAACATGGTCTGCCATGCGGTTTTCAGGCCAAAAGCCAATTTGGAAATTACGTAATATCTTATTTTCGTCAAAATACAAGTGAAGTCTTCGATTTAAAATAGAGCAGAACCTTTTTCCAAGGCAACTAGATACACATATGCCTCTGTAGTTTGTTGGGTCATTCTTGTCACCAGATTTGTAGTGATAGTGGTAGTGGTAGTGGTAGTGATAGTGATGTGGTAGTTGTAGTGGTAGTGTGATAGTGGTAGCAGTAGTGATAGTGGTAGTGGTAGTGAAAGTGGTAGCGGTAGTGGTAATGGTAGTAGTATTGGTATTGATAGTGGTAGTGGTAGTGGCAGCGGTAGTGATTGTGGCAGTGGTATTCCTAGTGGCAGTGATAGTGATAGTGGTAGTGGTAGTGGTAGTGGTAGCGGTAGCGGTAGTGATTGTGGTAGTGGCAGTGGCAGTGGTAGTGGTAGTGGTAGTGGTAGTGGTAGTGATAGTGGTAGTGGTAGGGTTGTGGTAGTTGTAGTAAGTAAGTAATAAATTGCTTTATTTGCATGACCGCATCATTTTACAGTATTGCAAAAGCATGTATATGACAATCAAAATATAAAACAAAACAGCACTAATAGTGTTGTAGTGTTAGTGGTGTTGGTATTGGTAGTGGTAGTGGTAGTGGTTGTGGTTGTAACAGCAGTAAAAAGTGGAAAGAGGTAGTGGCTATGGTGGTGTCAGTGGCACTACTATAGTGGGTGAAGTGGTGGTAACTTTTTTGCAATAAAGACTCTGACCTATGGAAAAACTGACCCAAGCAGCTTTGGACTGCGTTTAATTATGAGACAATGAGTCTGTATCTTAGCAAAGAAGGTACCAATAAGGGGTTTCAACTTTAGTGGTAGTGGTAAAGATAGAAACAATCATGGTGGTAAAACAATTAGTAATAGAGGTACATAGCAGTAATGGTAGTAGTAGTTGAAGTTGTAGTGTTCATTGTTGAAGCAGTGGTGGTGGTGGTAACAAAAACAGTATAGCAGTGTCAGTGTCAGTAGTGGCAGTGGTAGTTCTAATGTTAGTAGTTAGCAAAAGCAGTATATAGTGTATGGTTGTAGTACTTGTGGCACAGGTACTGGCAGCAGAAGAAATGGTGGCTTGTGGTAGTTGAAGTAGAAGTTATTAGTCAGCCAGTCAGTGGAAGTGCTGCTGTAGTAAGGATGGCTAACAAGCTTTCAAGCTTTTAAGTGACTTTGCCCATCAGAATATCATAATAGCTTTTTTCATAATTTCTCATTTTATGGATGTTTTAAAACATCTGTCATGAAGGTTCAGAGCCACCGTAAATTTCTGTGGCTGTGAATGCACTGAGCAAAAATTAGGTACAAGTTGAATATGCAAATTACAATGAAATGTTTTAGATGGGTTATACCATATGGTGACAAGTAAAATAAACATAAATCATTCAAATGGACATTTCTTTGTTTGACAGAGTGTTGGGAATTTTAAGTGCTGTATTTGTGCTGATTTGAAAAAAATTCTGGAAATAAGTTTAAATCATCTCGCCATTGAAAATATAAAGTAATTTCTAAAATTTTGTTCATTGCTAAAAAATACATACCTGACTTTCCATCATCTTTGCACATCACTGCCCATGAATGAAACAACTCAAGCAGTTTATCTCTAGAAAACATGGCAATGAAAAGAGATACAGTCAATGCACTTTCATTGTATCCACCTGGAACACTGAAGTACTCCGACAGCAAGGAGATGTCAATTGCAAATTCATAGTTTGGGCGATCTCTTGTAAACTCAGTGAATGCTCTGATATAGTCAGACTCTACAAATCGTGCAACTGTTCTCACCCTTGACATAAAGTGCTCATAAAATCGACCCTTCGCTTCAGTGTAAGATTCACAGAACATTACATCATTTTTAATGCTTTCAGCATACTTCCTTAATAGGGGATGAATGTCATACATCAACTGCTTGGCATCTTCATTAGCTACATGAATGATTTCATTAGTCACCAGTCCTTCAAGCTGTGCCACTGCTTCTGAAATGCTCACACCCAAAATTTTGGCAGCTGTGGAAGTAGGGAAGGGTCCATGAAACAAGGATACTGATACAGCAGAAACCCTCAAACTATCAGATGGTAGGGAATAGAACATTTCTCTGATTATTGACATCTGCCCTTCATCAACTCCTTCTTCTTCAAAATCAAAGGGTTTTTCTTCACTATCCTCCTCCAACTTTGATTTAACAGGAGCTCCAGTTCCCTTTTGAGAAGATGTTTCTATCAGACTAATCAGGTCATTGGGAGATTTTCTTCTTTGTTTCAAAATTGCAGCTGTTCCTTTCAATAACAATGGGACTCCTTTGCAAATGCCAAGAAGCTTCTTTTTCTTTTGAGCCTCAATACTGGGACTTTCTTCAGGAAGCAAAATTTTCTCTGAAAAAGATTCCTCCAGAGGCTGCAACACATAACCAGTCACTTTCTCTGAATCTGTTAGCTGAGTTCTTGAGATCAGAAGCATGTTTGTTGTTCCTGTCTCCCCTTTAAATTGTGAAAGCTTTTCCAAAAAAATAATGAATTGTGTTTTTAAGTTCTTGCCCTCCTTTCCCTCTTCCTCAGAAAACTGCTCCACATTGTCAAGAAGGAATAGAACAGGCTGACCTGCGCTTTCTTTTTTGACACGCTCGTGAACTAATTGCACAACATAATCCATCTTCCATGAAACACCGACTGCGGGTGTTACATTAAGTGCACCCATAATTTCCACATAAATTGACGTCAAGTCTGTTGCTTTTCGTAGGTCAAAATAAAAGTATTTTCCATCTTCTACTTCCCATCTTTTACCAATTTCCTTGGCAAGTGTTGTCTTTCCCACCCCAGCGGATCCATACAAATTAACAACGGGCATCATTTTAAGTTTTTCAGTTATTTTCTTAACCTCATCAGTTCTTCCGCTCAATTCCTTTTCTGGCTCAGGCTGCAGCGGGTGAGAGGTCTCGAACTCTTCAATTCTTTGGTTAATGTCATTTTCATTGCTTGATCTTGTAGCAATGAACTTCTTTATTAGAGTCAGTTTCGTACCGGTAACATAACCGAATTCATACAAACGATCCAAACAAGACAACAAATCTTGATTTCCTAGCGATTTGAATTCCTCGCCGTAAATATTCTTCAAAGATTGCACGACATCTTCTGATTCAGCGGGAGAAATCTTCGAGGATATGTACCTAAAAAGTTGATGTAACTCTGATAAGTTTTCACTGCAACTGGACGCCATCTTGGAAATACGCCGCTGACCAAAGAAGCTTCCGAACAACCTGGAAGCCACCCGGAAGTTAACCGGAAGTAGATTGGAATTTCACGGAGCAAAACCTTTTTTGAACGACGCACGTCAACCGTGACTGAGGCCTTCGCCCTTTTAATATGCATTGAAGCCACCAAATTTGTTTTGTTAAGTTTGAGTTTCTTTTACTCTTACAGAGAAGATCTGCACGACAATTTGGCCAAACCTGGGAGGGGTGGGGGGGATTCCCCAAAGAATGGGGTTTTTCCACCGTTTTGGTCTGAAAACGGGTATAGACTTTGCCCATTTGGTCTGGAATCGGGTATGGTTTTCGAAGAAACTACGAGAGTATATCAACGTATTTGTCGTTTCAAATGAAAAATGAATCAGAAAGAAAGATCAATGCGCGAATTCGAAATGGCTTTTAAGAAATCCCTTTGTTTGAGCTCTAGTCTAAAAATGATGACCTTATTTCTACCTACACCAGGTCTGAAAACGGGTGTGAATTTAAGACAGCCGGCTCTTTAAAAAAAAGGGTGTGGAAAAAGAACATTTTGTAGTACTTTTAAGACGACAAAATGTAAAAAGAGGGTCAGGATTTGGAGAACCGGGCGGCACATCCCCACCGGGAATATTCCCCCGAGGTAGGCAAAATTGCTGCCCAAGAATGCAAAAAGTCCACTTCTGTTTGACTTACGTCGCTCAAATACGTCCTCGCTTAGGCTCCCCAGTAACGGGTAAGGGGGCCTCATATCTTATAATTGTGCCTCGAAACTAAGAACGAGAAGTCCAAAGACTACTGCCTCGAAACTACTGTGTTTAAAATATGCCCTTAATACAGGTGAAAGACATAGCATTTTAAAGACATTTCTAGTTTACAAAAAGAATGTTGTTATCCTTTGTCAAGATTTGTTTTCATCTCTGACTTATAATCATTTTTCAGCCAGTGAGCGGCCATATTCCATATTCAGTGGCGGATCCAAACCGTCACATAAGGTGGGCGGGGGGTGTCATCAAGACTCTGAGCCCCGGTGGAAAAAAAAATTTTCGGGCCTTCGGGCCTCTTTGTGGTCCAAAAACAACGGGTGAGGCCCGGGGGGCCCGGGCCCCTAGCCTGGATCCGCCACTAATATTGATAGCGTGAAGTAATAATTATCCCTCGTGTTCCGCGCGCACCTCAGCAAACAACATGCCAGTGAATCTGTTTAGGCCGCTTTAATGAGGGAACCGGGAACCTGAGGAGTCGAGAGAAGCCCCCAGGGCGGGAGGGAGCGAATGAAAACAGTAAATCGAACGACTGAGAGAGACAAATGATCAGATTACAAGAAGATGTCAGTCAACACCCAGCCGGCGAAACGTCGTGGGGTCCTAGGGGTAATTACGTTATTCCCTAGGAATATTGATAAAGTGAAGGCATTGTAAAACCATTGGCAATTAGGACAGGAAGAAAAAAAAACATATATGGTCTATCAACGGAGCAGTATTTGCTATCACTTTATTTCCATATTCGTCCTACGTAAGGTAATTCAAGACAGTTTTGAATGCTGGATTCCACCCTGTCGAATCCGGATTCCAGGTACTGGATTTCGGATTCTTTGTCAAACTTAGGAAAGCCCATGATTCCGAATTCCAGAAGCAGAAATTTCCCGGATACCGGATTCCACAAGAAAAAGTTCCCGGATTCCAGGATTGGGATTACTTAAAATGGGCGGCTATCAAACAGATTAACTCAAAACGAGAAGTTCAGCATTTTCTATCGACGATTTGTGATCGGCATTTCAAAAAAAGCCAGTAGCCAGTACTTTATGGAGAAAAAACTCAGTAGTTCTGAACCCATTCGGTTATAATTGAAACGTTTAGTACACTTTTGGAGGACATTAAAAAAGCTTGTCTGCCTCTCTTCCGTCTACTCTTTAGCTTTTTTACTCTAACATTGTTAGTATTACTTTGATTTCACCGATATTATAGCAATCTTTACTTCATTTCTTTTTCTTCAACGGCTTTAAGATAAAACAAATCTATGAAATATCCCAGGAGCCGAGTAATCGGCTCCTGAACACGGCCTCGTGCTAAAATATTGTAGCAACAAATTGTTTCCAATCTTTGAAGTATTTGTTTGTTTACTCTTCTTTCGGGCTATCTTGACTCCCATTTTTTTTAACAGTGAGATTGATATGTAATACTGACCTTAACTGGTCTTTTAAAAAATTAGAAAGGATAAAATTAAAGCAAACATAATTTTACGTACATTGAATATAAAAATCAATAATACATTACTCAAAAGGCTGAAGCTCCCTATTGGGCAATATATTGAACTGAAAGAAAAGCGAAACATGTATTAAATATTCTCAGTACGTATTAAGCGGACAGTTCAAATCTTTTTCTCATACGTTCTGTACTTAGACTGGTTGTGTGTATTTAACAAAAGGGCCAGGTTATGCTTTTTAAGAGAGTGTCTCTGTAAGAGCGGTCCGGTCGACTTTCCTTGAGACACAGATTTAGCTCATTCCTTGTGTGTTGTAACACATTCATGTACCTGTACTAAAACCACAATCCGTTTGATCGGATCTCTTTATTTTTCAGAGTTTTACGGAAATTAAATTTCACTCGAGCGAAGGCCTGTCGTGACACTTTTCAAGACTTTAATTTGAGACAACTTTGGAGGACAATTTACAAAAAAGTACGGGACTCAGCAAAAATCAAATACCACAGACATGTATAATAACTCTATCTTATCCATCGAGGAGACTTTCGTGAACATCACGTTTCAATCAAGCAAACAGGAAGACTTGAACGACACCTTATGGGTTCGCTTAAGTCACACACGCGAAAACCGATCAAATTCAAGGTACATTTTTGAAAAAGTGAGGCGTTCTTAACTGATCCAACTAATATAGCTAGGACGTAGGTGCCATAGAAAAGGTAACTACAGAAAAAAACTTTGCGGCCCGACCTTTACTACAACTTTATAACTCCGTGAACTTACCTAATTTTCGGCAATCTCCAAGTTTTGCCACCATTTTGAGGGACTTGTCAACATGAAGCGTAGCAGATATAAATCGAGCAGGTAGATCTAAAACAGTCAGAAATACATACGAAAGCATTCAAATGAACTTCACTTTCAATTCAGGGGGCAAAATTTGAAATTGTTTGTTAAACCTACCATTCCTACATCCCCATGCGACCATTTGTTCCAACAATTCAAACACTACAACTAGTGACCACTAGTGTTCGAATTTCCCTTGTCGATTCCACCGTAAGAAATAACCTGTGCCACCCAAGCTTCGACTCGAATGTGAAGTACGAATCAAACAACAGAACTGCGTCATCTTCGAGGCCATATCACGCTGGTATTTTGATTTTCTGATCGACAAGAACGGCGATCAGGAGGTGATCGCCATGTTTACCTCATAAACGTGACCGCTGACCAGCTGCTGAGTGAAAACGCCGCGGTGTGGAGTGGGTGGCGGACTTATCGTCATAAGATATTCGAATACACGCTAAAAAACCTTTAGGACTCTCAGTCTAAACAGTGAAGGCATGCTTCGTGGTACAGACAACTTTTATTTTATTCTCGTAACTTTTTCTTTTAAATTAGAACTGGTATTAATTAATAGAGTTATTTAAATATTTTTAACCAAGGTACCCATATGACCTTTTTGCTTGTCCTCAGTGGTATAAAATAAGGTGTCTTTTCTTCCATAACCTTTTATTTATGCGTTATTACACGGAATAAACACTATACTTAGAAGGTTTGTTCTAAGTCCTTTTTTCTGTTCGCAAGAATGTATGCAAAATCGTTGCTTTATACAAAGCTGACTCTAAAATATGATTTTCCGTAACAGTAACCAATGTCATTTAGGTAAGGTGTTAATAAAACTAGCAATGTACAATTTTTAACGTTTTCCAGTTATAAGCCTGACATACAATTGTCAAGTGAACTATGTTAGTTTCAGCTCATTCCTTGATTCGATGTGACCTTTTATCACTAAACCCCATTCTTTTCATTTGCAATTTTCCTGTACTTTTTTTTTCATGTGACAACGACAAAGAGTTTTATAAGTAAACTGTGGTTTTGGTATACCACGCTGATCACATTGTATATACAAATACATACAAAAGGCCGGCTAAATAAGCTCCTCCTCCTGCTCCTAATTTTTTGGGTTGCCTTCGCCCCATGCCTCTGCACGACTCCCATTTAAATGGGAGCTCGAAGAAAGTACAGATTTCCTTAAGCATGGAAACAGTAAAATAGCTCAATTTTTCCTCCTTGACGTAGTCACACAAGTCATAAATGTCATAGACAATCGGATGCGTTAAGCCAATTTCTGTTACAACTGATTCGACGATGGTCATGTGATTCACTTCTTCCTCGTCAGATTTATCGTCAACCGCGGTGCTCGAAGACGAACCTGCCCGTCTCCATCTCGAGGAGGACAAACGGAAGAAAAGTCCTTGTATTTGGGCTTTGGTTAGCCACTCTTCCCGGGAAAACAGGCCCTCCCCGTTTTCCCCCTTCGCTTTCCTCATATCTTGCGAGACTTTTCGCAGATCCTCTTTCCTTCCAGATTGCTCACCAATTTCAAACTTGAAGGTGAGATACTGCCTTACTTTCTCTTAGAAGCGAACAGCGGCACCTTTTGGCTTATGAAGTGCCCATCCTTCACTTAAATTCGACTGGAAAGGTTCGCTACCCTGTCTCTCGATAACATTGGTACTGTCGTCTTCTGAAAGGGTAAGGGATGAGGATTTTTCAACCCAGCTTAAATCTAGAGATTTCAAAGCTGTTCTAATGTCAAAAATAAAGGAAATGACCCATGAATTCCAGTGCTCAGTGGAAGGATAATTACACCATCAAGCAGCGACCCAATGGCCCTTGTAGCTGTCTATAATGGAGAGATTGTAAGTTGGCTATAAAAATTACACTTTTTTCTCTTTTGCTTTGACTTTGTGAGGTGGTTTTGTAACAATTTGAACAGACACGAGTCACTCTT